AGCGGAACAGAGAGAGATTCTGTTAGCTTTAAAATGCGAGTCTTCTGCAGTGCCAGATCAGTCGCATTTCCTATCTGCTGCGAGAGAGTTACATTTAATGCAGCGCAGCTCTGCATTTCTGTAATAAATAAATAGTAATATAATATTCAAAATGAATTTAATTATTATTATTATTAAACCGAATATGATGAATATATATATATATCTAATAATAAACCTTATAAATAAAATCCTTTATTCAGCTAAAAATCTTTTCCTTTTTATTCCGTTAGCCAAATTTCTTAGTGTAAGTCTTAAACTTTGAATATTTTTTCATTTACCGTATCCAAACTGTAATCTGTAGAAATATTTAACATTCCCGCTTACTGTTGTTCTTAGCATTATCACAGAAGCTTTTACTGTAAAAGCTTTTCATGGTTGTTGCGTCCACTTATAAAAGCTGTCATCATATACTTCCCCTAGAAAGCTTTAGGATTGCTGCTGAAGCTTTTGCAATTGTATAAGCAGAAACTCACCACGTGGTGAGGTATTTTTTTGTTGGTGCACATATTAATATAAGATAACGATATAAGTATAGGGACTAGGAATATTCAAAACTAGTAAGACATATTATTAAATATGTATAAGTAATATACAAAGCGAAAAGGAAATTCAAGATTTAATTATGGCACATAAATTTAATGTAATAAATAATATTTTTATATTCAAAGAACACTAACTTACCTGTTTATAATTAACTTAAATATGCATACAAGATATACTATTAATAGTCTGCTTAGACATATCTGACATACATGTGTCAGGGCAGACAAGTGAAATTTGCCTATGTGAAATGTGTAAAAGCCAGTCAAAGAATTAATTAAAATAGTTTGAATTTCACATATCATTAAACTGATCAATGACAGCTGCTGTAAATAATCGCCATGAACACAAACACACACACAGACACACAAACACACATACATATATGCAGAAATAGAGATATATATTTAATTTCGTAGCAAATTGACTTTATCAATTACACGATTGAATAATACACACGCACACACACACATGCACCCAGCAACCGTGTCATGTGGCATATGATGCATTAAAATCGTTCAATAAACAGTCCAATAGATGGCACTGTAAGCTCACACCTCAATAAATTGAGAATTAATTGTGAATTTTTGCCGTAAGGTAGAACGAAATGCAGTTTAAAAAAAGTGTTGCCTACCGTTGAGGGCGAATCGAAGCCGGTGCTCAGCCGGTGTTCAGCGCTTTAGTCCTTTGAGGCTGCCAGCATCAACTCAATTGTGTGTGCGAGTGTGCAAGTGTATGAGTGTGCGTGTGTGTATGTCTATGTGGTCTTGCCGTTTGGTTAGGTTGCGTGGATTTCGCTCGCCATTCTGGACATGCGGCACATGCTCTTATTAACTTGCCTTTTGTGTGCGGACTACAGTGCAGAGCAGGCTAAAAAGGGTAAACGGAGGAAAACGGCACGGGTGATTGCATAACCCCACACCTACACACACACATACACACCCCGCACACACATGCCAATTTTTTGCCATTTGCGGCGCAACGCGTGTGAAAATGCAACCAAATTGCCGCGGTAGCGATTTTTAAAAGACCAAAGCATAGCAATGCCAAATGGGTATATTACGTTTCTGGCTTGTCTGCATGGGCGATGCTGGAGCAGTTGCAGATGTGGGCGGAGTGAATTGCTCAAGCAGAAGTTCTTTTACTGAACTTATGTTTCCATTTTCTTTGAACCTTATTCGTTATTCTACTTCTTTTTTTTTTAATTTTATTTCTTTTCACTTTTATTATCTTGTTTCACTTGCTCCTCTTATTTCTTAACTTTCCGATTTGTTTCATTTCCCATCTCTGGAATTTTTTTTCTCATATATTTTCTTCAAATCCTAATTATTATTCAGCGTACTCTTACTCTGTGCTGCATCTCTTCTCCTAGCTTTCCACTCTTATCATTTATTTTTATATATCTAACATTTTATATTATTATTTTCTCATTTTTTCGCATCTTATTTGATATCATTTGTTTTCAATTATCATTTATTTAATATTTTCTTTTGTGATTTTATCTCCTTTATTTTGTACTTTTTCCGTTCCAATTCCATTTCAACTCTTCTGTTAGTTTCTCTCATCCTTCATCTACACTTTGGTTGCCTACTTTCTTGGCTTCTCTTCTCTTCATCACTTTTCTCTTATTGAACTTTTTGTTTTGTTTTATTCTTTACTTACATCACCATTTGGCTTCATTACTTTATTCTTCATTACTTCTATTCTTCTTTTATTCTCTCTCCCTTTTTTCTACATATTTTCCTCTGTTTATTTAATTTTTTTCCCAGTTTTTTTCTCCATTTAAATTCTTTTTGTTGTCTGCCCTAGCCTTATAGTTTTACTATTTATCTAATCCCTTTTCTTTAATATTTCTATCTACCTTTTTGTCTCTAAATCTCTCTTTATCTCTCTCTCTCTCTCTCTCTCTCTCTCTCTCGCTTATTTTCTCTGTTTATTTGGAGTAATGTAACACAATACTGGCAAAAATTTAATTTTTTTGTATCTAGATTTTCTATACTTAATTTTATTCATCAAATTTATTTTATATATTGTACAGCCAGCAGATCAACTGAAACTTGGGTCTATATAAAGTTTGTATGCAGTAGTGTGAGACTCGATTATTATTTTTTAATTTTCTTATGCTTTTGGCACCAAATCAATATTCATTATAACTTTGCATGTTTCTTCAAATAATAAATAACCGCCCTAGGCCGACTTTGTTTTTTTCCACTCCTCTACATATAAAAGAAAAATGTAATTGATTTACAAGTTGATTGAACAAATAAGTGCATAAACAATATAAATGATTGAACAATGATCAATATACAATTTATTTAAATTATTTTTTTATTAAAAAATTAATTGATTATTTAATTTTAATCATTTTTATAAAAATGATCATAAATAAATGATTATCACAGAAAATATATACACCCCAACTCATATTTTAAGCATCAGCTAAAGACAATTCCTTTATAGGGCATCTGTCGGCACATACGCTTTTCATGGCCCATTTCGAATATGGACTCTGTGAAGCCCTTGAGCAAAAAACTAGCCACGTCCGACGTGCTTTTAATTGGCTGCTCGTGAGTTTATGAGGGCAACAGCAGACATTTAATTTATTTTAATAATTATGTATTTTGTTTTACTATCTTTTTATTTTGCTCTTTGCTTTGTTTTTTTTTTTTTTTTTTTTTTTAATTTTTCAGTTGCTCTGCGCTTTTTGAATTAAATTAATAAACTCGCTGGCGATACGCAGAAGTTTTTTTATTTTTTATTTTATTATTTTATGTTTTGTTTTTGCTGCCTAGTGCTGACTTTGTAATGAAATATTTTTGCCATGTGGGGCGATGGCGTAAAAAATTGATGGTAAACGTAACTTTTAAGAGGGCTAGAGAATCTGCTGTGGAGCAGCATCAGCATCAGCAGTTGAGCACAAATTGTGTGGTTAAGCGCACTTTGTTGTTGAAGCTGAACAAAAAAAGATAGAGGCGTGGTCTTTGGCGGAAGTCACATAAATTGAAAGGGAGTGGGCTGAGCTTTTCACATATCAATTACTTAAATCGATTCTTGAGCTCGCTTTTGATTTAATTTGATTGTGGCCCCGAGGCATTGCGGCTCAGATGTCTTTTATCATATATCCTATAGCAAACCTGTATAGCATTTGAACAATTTCTTTAAAGCAAGGTTGCTAGGAGAAATAAAGTAATTATCATTTGAGAAATTTGTATACACGTATTTTTTTTTAAACTAAGCTTTAATGCATTGAATTTAGAACTAAAAAGGGGTTTTCTAATTAATTTTCATGTTGCTAGAAGAACTTTTTGTGTTTATAACAAATTGAAAAAAAAAGGCAAGGGCAATTTGAAAGCAAACATTAAAAATATTATTCATTAATATATAGATCATATTTTTGGCATAATGAAATTTAGATGACACATATGTATTATATATATAAAGCCTAAGATATATTATATACACATACATATATTTTAATATTTATATATGGTATTTATATTTATAAGTGACCACACAAGGGCCACACTATTTTCAATTAAAATATTTCAACAACAATTTAAATAAATATGCATGATGATAAGCTTTGCTGCTGAAGTATTCCATATAAAATTCTTTATGAATTACATAATGACTGCGAAAACATGTGAAGAGGAATGCAAAATGTAGGAAGAGTTTCATTTATTTGCTCATAAACATAAATGTAAATTTTGGCTTTCACCTGAATTTGAGCATACTTTCTTAGATGCCAAACCAATATCGGGCAGACTTTGGTATAGATAGCACTATTTATAAGGCAAAATACTGCTAATAAGCTAAGCAGTAGTTTCTTCACTTCATACATCGCCTGGATATTATATACGAGAGAATGCTGTAAAGTGTTTGACAGTGTTTGACTAGGAGATGCTTAAAGCACTGCTCAAAATGCATTTTTACTTGGGGTAAGTTCGACTCTGTCAGGAGTCTAACTTACGTGTCCTCTTGGTCCACACGCATCTGCTCGACTTACTTCTTCACATTTTCAATTGCTATATAAATATAGAAAGAAAAAGAAAGATAGTTGATCTTCAAGGCTGCAAAGCGAAACACGAATAGAATTTGTTTGTATTGGCTTAAGCTCTGTTTGACAATTTGCTGAATGTCAAGCAGAGTTCTAAGCCCCAAAATAAAAATTGTTTGTGCTTCGACTTGCAGCTATGACATTGATATGTTTTTTATACATATATAGTGTAAGCAAAGTATTTTCTATGAACTCAGGCGAATGTGAGCTGGGGATTTCATGTGGCTAACTGGACATCAAATTGGGAAAGTTCATAAGCCAGTTGACCATCTTATTGCAAATGCAACTGCTGTGAAAATAAACTTTAGATTGAATTTGCCCATTTAAAAAAAAAAGTAAAGATAAATATATAAGTCAGAGCTCAAAGTTGAAATAATTGAAGACGGCATTTTATTTCCATGTTGTTAAATCAAAGAAATCAATTACAATATATTTATATATATGCATATATATATGTATTTATATATAGATTTATAATTATTTATAAACATGTAGCGGTGCACGAAAGAGAAGCCCAAATGAGTCTAAAGTAAATGGTTTTCCTTGTCCTTTTTCTTTTATTTTTTTGTTTTGTTTTTTGCCTTCACTTTCGCAACGATTCATACGAAGGTTGGATGCTCTCCACTCGACCATTTGACTTAAGCCTAGATTTAAATGTAGCTTAGAGTTGTTCTTTTTTTGTTTCTTGTTTTTTGTTTTTAGTTGTAGTTCATTAGCTGCTCTGCCTAATACAACACACGTCAATCCTAAGCTCTAGGATGTCCTTTTTTTTTCAAATTTGCGAATCGCTTCAATTTTACATGCTAATACTTTGTAGTTCCGTTGTATGTTTATAAGCCTGTCTGCATTATGTGGGTGTCTATGTGTGCCTGGGTGTGTGTGTGTGTGTGTACAAAAACCCTTTTCAACTTACGCGCTAAGCAACAACAACTTTTTACATTTAGCTCTCGATCGAATCTCTCTCGAATTAATTGCTTACAACTGATTTAGCTTAGATCTACGAACTGTTTTATTATTTTGTACAGATTACTACTTAATTTCTCGGTTAAGTTCTTAGGCCTGCCACGCCCCCAGGTAGACAACGATAATCAACGAGTGTAATATGTTGTGTATGTGCACAGCGGCTGAGCTTTTGAGGTCCTGCATGCGATCCATTTCGTCGGTCAGCGATTTGGCGTCGTGCTTCAAGGGCGTATTCTTGCCGTCCGACCGATAGGTGGCGCCATGATCGGGCACTGCAAGGGAGCACAGAAAGAGAGAGGACAGATAAATATAAATAATTCAATTGATTGGAAGCACTTTAGATGCACAGAGATAGACGGATAGAGAGATATATATATATATATATATATATATATATATATATATGTATATAGATATTATTGTCTGGCTCTGGCGTGTTACTTAATCAAAAGCCATATTCCTTTATTTTACGTGCATGGCTTTTATGATGTGTCCTTTCATAACTCTGGCCGCCGGCAGTTGGGCCAGCCAATCGAATGTCCTTTTTCAATTATGCGCTTGCCACACGCCAGCGAGCATAAACAATAGACAGGATGCGTTTATAGCCCAGTCATTTGTACACAAACACACACACACGCAGAGAGAGAGAGAGAGAGAGAGTGAGTGGGAGACATGGTAGACCAAACTGTTTGTCAAGGCGTTCCGTTTGCGAAACGTATTGCATATAAAAGGACACAACTTTCGTTCGTACTGCTCAACTGTTCCACTTATTTATAACATTCGCACTTATACAGCTCTCTTTTTGCCCCCAATTGTTTGTTGCTTTTTTTCTGGCATTTTGGCCAAAAATCGAAAGTATTTCCTCTGGCGGCATTTTGTTTCAATTTCACTTTGGCAGCGCCAAAAATTGTTTCGATTTTTATTGCTTAAGTGCGTTAAACCCTTGCGCGCCAGGACATGCACTCCACTCCAAACAAAATGAAGAAGAAGAAGAGCAGTGTATCCGTGTGTGGGTACACACTCACACGAGTGTTTGCCGCAGGGACACTCATTGCGGGCGGGGGCGAGAGCTCTGTATTGTTTTTCCCATCAATTTATCGTGCAGCCCTTATTTTTTTTTTCTTTACATATCTGTTTTAGTTTTTCTGCCTTTTTTATTTGTCTTCCAATTTTTTCTTGTTTTTCCGGTTTTTTTTCGGCTGGTTGTTTGTTTGCCTGGCAATCTGTTTCATTGGACATTTGTTTGTGTGCTGCAGTTACAAATGTGACGGCAGCAGGAAGCGGCAAGTGGGAAGTGAGAAGTGAGGAAGAGCGCACTAGGCGCTGGAATTGCCCACGAATTTTTGTATTGTTTTCTCAGTTTTTTTTTTTTTTTTTTTTTCATTTGTCCTGCTGTAGGCTGCAATTGGTCATTAGGCGCTTCGCTTTCGAGCTCTGCGGTTGAGCTGTACAACTGTGGCTTGTGGCTGGAGCACTCTGGCTTCACACACTCGGTTGCAGCTCGACTTTGGCTATGGGCGGGCGACAAGTTTCAGAGTAAATAACTCTAGATTCAATGACAATAAGCCTAAATTTATCTATGCATAATTAAGGAGGGTTAATCTTATTTAAACATTCAATCGGAATTTAAGTGTATTTGAATTGTTATTTAATTATAATATATTTGTAAATTGTATAAATTAGGTTGGTAACTATTTATTTTGTAGGAGGTACGGATAAAATGTAAATATGGTTGGCTAAATGTTTATATGTAATATATGTAGAATATTGAATGTTTCATGACGATGTTCAGTTCGATCAATTATCTTTTATAATTATATAACAAATAGAATTCAATTCGTAACTAAAATACTATTTGTATTATTTTATTATTTAATATTCTATATTTAATTAGGTGGGTAATTTTGATTATTTTCATTTGTTCGCTCTGCTGATGCTCTTTTTGTTTATTTCTTTTTCAACGCTGAAAGGAAAAAAAAAAAAAAAAAAAAAAAATTCATATTCATACATATGATACTATTATTAAATAATTTAATGTAATTTTTATGTATCGGCTAGTAATAATTCAACAATTATTGTTATCTTGGACTCAGGAGCTAAGCATTTATTTTATTTATTTTATTTTAAAATTATAAATGAAGTTCTTATAAAATATGATTAAAAAGGAATATATATATATATATATTTATATATAATATATAATATGTGATAGAATTATAACCATAAAGTTCTATATCCTCTTATAATATTTGCTTAACTTATTTTAAAGTCCATGCTTGCTTAGACCACGCCCACTGCTTTCATATGTGATCAAGTAAATCAACTGCTTTCTAATTCTTTTGCTTTGCCCTGGCAAGTCGAACTTCATTGAGAAAAGTTTGTCATTGGAGTGAAAAATAACGCATCGAGTGGAATTTCTTTCTATTTTCGCTGGATTTTCTGTGCTTCCTAAACGTAGTTTGGTTCGTTTTGTTTTTAACGAGGAACCCTTTTTATTTTTATTTATTTTTTATTTTTTTGTGTGTTATTTTTTTAAACGGAAGTGCGCAAATTGCTTTGCACCGGGTCGAAAAATTTATTTGTATGTCTTTTGGCTTTTATTTTTCTATAAGCAGCTTTTCCTGCCGCCGCCCACCCGCCGGCCGGGCCGGGCCTGGGGCTGGCTGGGTTTGTTTTGCTGGCGTCTGCAAACATTTCCATGTGTGAAAGAACGAGTTTTGCCCTGGTCCTGCAACGTGTTTGTCCTGCTCCTGTCGCTGCGTCCTTAATGTCCGTGCCGGTCGCTCGATCTGTGTGTGTGTGTGTTTGTGGGGAGGGGTGGGGGCATGTGTGTGTGAATGTCTGGCTGATTTTTATTGACGCCTGAGCATGTGTTTATGCGCATGGGTCTGTCTGTCTGTGTGTGTGTGTGTGTATGAGTAGGTCCCAACGGTGTCTTTAAAGCGCTTCACTATAAAGAAGCAGAACCAAAACGCTGACGGGTGTAAACGCTTTATCTCGCTGAGCTTTTATAGGCTGCTGTGTGGCGTGGCGACTACTTGAACCTAAGCTTTAAGTAATTTCTGCATAATTCTGTGCATGCCCTCGGGTGCAATCGGGCCCAATGAGGCCCGGCTGCAGCTAATAGAAAACAAGTGCTCGAGCAGCCCTCGGCCGTGCCCATATTATAGATGCGTGCGGATAGTCAAGGCAGCTTGGGCTGTTAAGGCTGAAATATATACATATATGTGTATATGTGTATTTAAATTGAATATTTCATATTTCATTGGGAATTTACAAGAGATTGCGCTAGCGGGAGTTTGGGGCCCCGGAGCTCTTCTTTGACGCGCTCCATTAGCGCTCTTTAAATTGACACCCTTTCGGCAAGTGTTGCACACACACACACACAGACACACAGACGAATTTCACACCTCAATTGTTGCGCCTGTTGCACTTAATGCAGAAAAGCGAAGCAAAAACAACGGAGAGAAAAAATAACAAGGCGAGCAGTGCCGGGAGAGCTGCCGCCGGCACTTGAGACTCACTTGAATGGCGAACGGGGCGTTACGGGTATGCGTTACATTTGGGTTTTCATTTGTGCGGCAATGCATTTAACGCCATGTGGCAGAAACAGTTGCGCACTTGGCGGCTTGAAACTATAATAAAAATGCACGAAAAGCAAAAGAATACAAATATATGAAATGCTGGAAGCACGCGATGCGATTTCCAATGGCTTGCCACATGCCCCAGCTGCAATTGCTGCTACCGTTGCTGCCGTTGCTGCTGCTGCTGCTGCTGCTGTCTGCTGCATTTCATTTACTTTATCATTTTTCACTTCTCGCTCGGCAAATTATAAGCAAATTATTGCGGCCCGCTGAATGTCAGTAATCATCATGAAGCCCCTTATAGCAGTAGCAGTTCCAGTCGCAGTTGCAGCTGGAGTTGGAGCTGAAGTCGGCTGCATGTGAGCAGTCGCATTTCCGGCGGGTGTTGCGCTCATTTTTGTTTTTATTGCATTTCCTTGTAATTTGTGTCATATTGTTGCCCGTTGGCCGAGCAAATTAAAAATGAAAGGCGACAGCAACAACAACAACAACATCAACAGCAGCAGCAGCAGCAGCTTTTGTGGTTGATTGCAACATTTTAATGACTGTTTAAGTGCGCGCCCCGAAATGCAATTGCAGCGTTTCATTTCTGATTGCAACCTGCTCGATGCAGTCCTTCAATTTCTGTGGCAATATTGATTTCATATTTACTCATTGCTTAACCTGAATCGAATTGCTTGCATGAGATATTTTTAAAAATTGCATTATATGAATGAAATCAATTAAACACTCATTTAGTTAGATCACAAACATAAATTTAAAACATTTTATATTTTATTGTAAAATTTGTTGAGAAATTAATAATTTTGTTTCTTCATGTATTTAGGTTTAAACTTAAATAATTGTAATAAATATCAATAATAATCATTTAATAAAATTTAAAAATTAGGTGGAAGTGAAATATGTATATATGATGAATATATGATAAACAGAAGATATTTATTTTCATTTTATTATTTTTTTTTTTTATTTATGTTTTATTTGCAAACTTTTTCAATATAAGGATAAATGGTAATAAAATTCGTTTAACAGTACAAAAAAATATATTTTAAAATAAAAATATCACTCTTTGCCATATATGAATAGAAAGTAAAGTCTGGGTGTGTATATGAAAAGTATTAGGATGATAGCGGATGGTGCTCAAGGTGCACTGAGGGTTATCAATTATATAAACATATTGTGTAGAAATTCATTTGTATTTTACTTATATAAAATAATAGATTTCATATAATAAAATGTATGTTTTATTTATTTATTAATTTATTTACTTTTTTTAAAGTTATTTTTAGCATATCATTAAAGCTAACCCGTTTTATTTTGCATCATTTAAAATTCAAATTATTAAAATTGACAAATATTCTACTATTATACAATTTAACTCTGCATAAATTGAATAAAAAATGGAAATTTGGTTTATAGATTGAATTATGCAAACTGTTAAGTATCTATGTATTCTATTCTTATACGCCATCTCTCAGTTGCTGTACAGACTTAGACGTATTCAAGTTTCGCAGACTCTCCGAATATAAAAGAAAAACAAAGTCGCAACATATGCAAAGCTCAGCAGTGATAAGCGCACGCCCATTGCCATTCACATGCTCCCTCTCTCACTCATCTCTCTGTCTCTCTCTCTCTCTCTCTGTCTTTCTTTCTCCCTCTCCCTTTGTCGCGATATGTGCAACATCTAGCAGGTAATAAATCTAACTGTAAACGCAGCGCTTACGACATTGCATGCCAGGCTTGAAAGTTGTCGTCATTGCAGCACCCAGCCCGCCATTACCAGGCGTAACAGCGACGGCTATGGCCCTCAGGCTCTGCCACCCGCGACCGCCCGACCGCCCGACCGCCCGCCCACACCCTAGATTGCCCTTTTGCCTCTGGCGTAAACGCAACATTTTCGCTGTCGTTTGCCAAAAATGGCTGTAGCCAAAGGCGAGGCATGATGCGGGTCGTCGTTGTCTTCGTCTCAGCTGACGACGGGCAGGAGTCGGCGGAGCATAGCCCTTTGATGGGACTGTAGATGTTGGGGTTTAGCTACATTCTTCTTCTACTTCTTCTTCTTATTCGCCTTGACGCCTTATGTGCAATTTGTCTGCAATTTTTATAGCTCGTCCCCGTCCAGCTGCTCTATCTATCGTACTCTGCTACTCCTCCTCCTTCTCCTCCTCCTGCTCGTTCTCTCATATTCAATTTGTTCGATTTGATTTTGGTGCTGCTGCTGCTTCTTGCGCTCTATCAAGTGCATTTTATTTTAGTCGAAACGCGTATGCACAAATTTTCCACTACAACAAGGCGCCTGTAAAGTTTTATGCGTTTGCCACGCCCTCCTGCCGCCCATCGAGCCGCCAGCCGGATATGGATATTGTCGTCGATTGTAAGCAGGCCAGGCCAGCGATGGCTCGATTCGGGAGCTGTGTAAAATTTTATGTTTATTGATTGGCAGGCACTGTAAGCAACCAGCGAGGCGACACTCTGACTTTTACATAATGCAACTGAGAGGCAACTGCAGCAGAATGTTTGCCAAGCATTCAAATGTGGCGCAACTTTAATGAAAAGTTTGATCTATGCGTAAAACAAACTGAAAATATTTACCAAAGTTTTATAACACAATAAGGATAAAGCTATAATGAAATTAATAAATTTGTTGGATCTGTTGTGCAGCATTTGAGTAGTTTGATTTCAATTCAAATTCGAATAATTTTTATACTTTTAAAGTATCTCTCTAAATTTAAGTCAATTTGTCACTGCATAGAAAAAAAAACAACATTTTGAAAATTTTAATTTAATTTACTTAAAATATATTTCCTATATTTCAGTATTCAAAATTATGTATTTATTAAATAAATTTAATTATAATTATTAAATAAATTTATTTATAATTGTTCCACACAAACTTTTATTTTCTTTATTAATAAAAACTAGTTTAAAGTATTTTTATTTTTTAATTCTTTTAATTTTTTATCAAATTGTCTTATAATTAATTAATAAATAATTCTTGAATTCATTGTTTTTATTTTTCATTAAAAAAAAAAGTATATTATGATAAAGGTTAAATAATTAGACATGAAAAAAAAAAAATATTTTTTTGCCTTTAAATAAAAAAAAAAATTAAAAAAAAAATAAATAAATAAATTACAGAGCGAAAATCTATTTTCCAATTTCAAAATAAGAAATTGATTTTAAAATAATTATTTGCAACTAAAAAAAATGTGTAAGCATTTAAATTAAACTAGTTTTTATTAATAAAGAAAATAAAAGTTTGCGTGTAACAATAAACTTTTTATGTACACACATTTGTAAAGCATTGTGAATTATTCAGTTTTCAAGGCACAAAGCATTTCACATTCCTAATCAATCACAAGAGCTGCTGCTGCTGCGGCTCGAACACCTCAGGGATATTATGTGCTTAGCACAAATATCGAGATTTGTGTCCCTTATTATTTATGATGATTGTACATTATGATGAGCCACATTAGCAGCGCATTACACCAGATACCAGAAACTTTGGCAAGCGCTGCGCGCCGAACTGGGCAGCTGGGGCAGCAGGGGCAGCAGGGGCAGCAGTTTTTCGCTTCGGGCAACAGAATTGCATGCTAGAAAGTCATATTTTCATTGGCAAAAGAACAGAGGGATAGACCATAGACAGAGTGAGAGAGGGGGAGGGTGTGGGGCTGGCGTATGCTTTGGCAAAGGATATACATGCACATACACATATATTTTTCATGACTCGAGCCAAAGTATCTGTATCTAACAAGTGTCGACGGCAGGACAGAGCCCTTAAGCCCGGCTGAAGTCGTTATGATTTGTCATAAACATAAAATAAATGGCCAAATATTTATAGTATGCTGTGTCATGAGAAGCTCTAGCAGACACCCACACACAGACACACACACAGACGCACCCACTCACACACATTTAGCCAATAAAAATATGGGCCCAAGGGTAGGAAACAACTTGAAGTATCCTTCGATGCGTTAAGTAGCTCGCAGATGTCAAGGATTTTTATCCTTGCCCTAACCAATCCCTACTCACCCAGATGCTGCTGCTGCTGGTGTTGCTGATGCTGCTGCTGCTGCTGCTGGTGCTGGTGATGATCTCTGCCACGGCTTGTGCCCGGCGAGTGATGATCCTGTGAGTTCCACAAGCTCGACGTGGCGCCCATGTACACATTGTTCAGTGTCGATGGCGCCTGATCCAAGGATTTGCCCTTGTTGCGCTGCGACTTGCTGTTGCTGTTCTGTGGACTGTTGTTGTAGTTGTAGGGATTATTGCTGTTCGAATTGCTGTTGCTGCTGTAGCGTTGCTCTGCGAATTGAATGGCGTTAGTGAGTGCAGAGCTTATAGATTGTAGTAGGACGATAAATATCGAATAAGTGGCTTGGCCTTATGAAAGTTGTAAAATAATTTAATATTTATTAAGCACCCAATTAGGACAGACAAAATTTGTATATATAAATAACAATTAATAATAATAATTAATAAAACACAAATTAAATACGAATTAAAAGATTTCTTCATTCATAATTCATAATTTTATATGTATAAAGGAAAACAATTTTGTTAATACATATACTATATTATATTGTATTACACATTATTAAATTAATACTTTTAATTTTTATTGCTTCAAAGATTTTTATGAAATCAATTTTCATTTTATTTTTGATACTATTTAATATTAATTTATATGTTAGATGCTAAACTTGGACAGGTAAAAAAAAAATATGGAGTATAATTTCTTGGTATATTACATTTACCAAGATTGAGCTATACATATATATATGTATAATATTATAATAATATATAAAAATTTAATATATATATATATATATATATATATATATATATATATATATATATAAATTTAAATGAATTTAGCTAACATTCTGTAAGACACTTTCGATATTTATCGATTAGCATTATCGATTTCATGGTGCATACCCTTGTTGTACTTGACGTTAAAGACAGGTACAGTGTTGATCGATACAGTGGGCGCCATCGTTGTAATTGTTGTTGTTTGCGGAATATCTGAAGAAGTAGATCGAACACATATTAATGGAATTGACACGGAACTCAGGGTGGGGCATCTCTATGGAATGTCTGAGAATATTTGAGCATCGACTGCTCAATCACTTGCCAACAAATAACCGGTTCACCCTGCTCAGTTGGCAAATTATATGGCATAAATGATAAATCTGTAGCACGTCCATTATCGTCATCGCATCAAACATATTTATTTATGCAGCCATGGAGCTAACTTCATCGAGAGCACCGGCTCATAAATCAATCACTGCCAATGCTGGGCCACGCCCCAGTTCAGCCACTTGACCTAGGTCAAAGGTAACTAAACTTTATTCTGCCATTTTTATGAACATTATTATTATGTTTGCTTTTATTCGTATTGACCCGAAATTAATTAAATGCCATAAACGAGTCTAAATAGTTTGAGGCGAATCGCCCTTGGCTGCTGTGTGACTTATGTGAGACACTGTTGAAGCCGTTACATTAACATTTACGTTTATAGTTATGGCAATGGATGTAAATGTTATTGCTGTTAGAGTTGCTGAAGTTCTTGTTGTTGTTGTTGTTGTTGTTCTTGTGTGAAATACTTACGATACAATTTGATCGCACCATCTGTGTCGCCCAGCGAATTCTTGGCCACACAGCGATAGGCACCAAAGTCGGAAATGTCAACGTCGTAGATGGTCAGACGCATTGTTATTTTATAGCCCGACTCGAAGGTTTCTGGCACAAAGCGTTCACCTGCCATAGAGAGAGAGAAAGAGAGAGAGAGAGAGAGAGAGAGAGAGAGATAGGGAGAGGGAGAGAGATAGAGAGATGGAGATACAGAATGAGTGATAAATACGTTTAGTAATTGCTTCATGTACATCGTGATGAGTGGGTATATGTATGTGTATGTGCTTGTTTGTTGGTGTTTGTGTGTGTGTGGGCGGCGTAGCAAGCTCGTATATAACCGCAATGAAATTTAACCCATTTGGCCCGACCTGCAGTCAGTCAGTCAGCAGAGCCTGTTAAAGTGACATGCTAACGTACGTACATATGTATGTGTGTGTGTGGGTGTGTTTGTCCTTTGTCCTGGACTTGTCCTGGCTAAAGTAATTTGGCTTAAAAGAAGCCAAAATAGATTTGAGGAAAACCCCAATTTTAGCTCAACTTGTTGTCATCTTGGATAACCAGCTCTTTGCGGGGGGTTCGCCACCCTCCAAATCGTTCATTTTAATTTATACAAAAACCAAGCTGGCATTCGAAGCGTTTCCTACTCCTCCTCCTCCCCTCCAACCCCATGGAGTTAGTTGCTTTGCTTGGTTTTGATTTACGTTTGATGTCGGTTAGATTTCGTTTAGTCGGAACTAAGCCTGCCCCTTCCACCTGGTCTAGCATGTGGGGCCACCGACTAACTAACTGTGAAGTCGACCACAGGCAATTGTTATGCATGGCAGCTAAGCAACTGATTAGTTTACTAAAATGCTGCCAAATGGCTTGAAACTGAGACTCGAGATTTGAGTTTACGTTGTTGTTTGTTGTTGTTGTTGTTGATTAAAACCAAATTGGTTTCGGTCTCTTGCCTGAAAAGCATTTAAATGCTAAAGATTGACGAAATGTGATTTGAGCAAAGATTAGAAGAATATATTTTTAGTTTAGTGTAAAAAGCAGATGAGGGCAAAGGAGGCTGACTTTTTGCTTGGCATGCGAATCTGACTAAACTGAATTTAATATTATATATAATAAAAAATAACTAAAAGAAAATAAATAAATAAATTTAAATGGCGTTCTTAGAAATTAAATTTTTATAAATTAGAAAAAATATAAATACTATAAATATAATATATACTAAAATTATATTCTTTTTTGTAATTATTTAATTTATTATTTTTGTTTGCATAAAATAAAATTCGGCTTTTTCAATATTACAGAAAATTGTTTAGCAAATGTTGCTGCCATTTTCAGTAGTGATCAAATCTGATTTTTTTTTTTTTACTTTTTTTTTAATTTGTTATGCATTGGCAATTAAATATTTATTACATATTTAATATTTGCTTATTCTTATAAATTTCAAAGAGTTTCAGTTTAATAAAATGTTCACAAATTATGTTCATTGATCTGGCTGTTGAAAACAATTCCGAGTCAAATTTTCAAGTTCAGTTCGTAATCAGCTTAAAGCTGGCACTTAAAGGAGTTCTGAAAGCAACCCTTTTATGTCCTTGTGAAATCCAACGCACTTTGAAAAAGAAAGTCAAAAAAGGAATGAACGAAAAAAAGAAACTCCATTAAAAACTCAGAGCTGGACGACAGTTGCTGGCTACTGAAACTGCTTTTGACTTGAGGTCATTTTCAATCACTTTTTCCATTTTGTGTCACAGGGTAGCCAGAAAACAACACGAAAAAAAAGACCGAGGCAGAGAGGGAGAGAGAGAGAGAGAATGAATAAGAGAGAGAGAGTAAAGAACGTTGTTTTTGAATGTCTGTGTGACTTTTTCACAGAGCTCTCACTGATAAGGGGCCGTGGTCAGTGGGCAGGAGCAGGAGCAGCAGCAGGAACAGCAGCAGGAGCAGCTGTAGTAGCAGGAGACAGAAGTTGAGCAAGTGCAGGTTGCGGTTTGGAGTGTGCGACCGTCGTTGGCTTTTTATTCGTTTCTCGCTTTTTTTTCTGCGCCATGCAGTTCATTTGCCGTACAGGATGAGTGGGCGTTTGAGTGAATGGATGGATGGCTGCATGGATGGTCAGCTCTCATAATGGCCGCAGGAAATTAAGTTGAAATTGTGCCTAAGGGTCGGAGAGCAATCATCGTGTAGTTGCCAGCGCACCAGCAGACGCTGCGTCAAATTAATTACATTTCGTTGGATTATGCGAAAGTGGGCATAGTTCTTTAGTTTAATAGAGTTTTAAGTGCAGCCATAGCAGAATGCAACAAAAACAAAAACACACTTCAATTGATAGCGGACACCTGCATGGGATGTATTGCTGCATTTTCAGAGTAATTACAAAAGCAAAAGAGTCGACTTTTCCGTATGCCTTATAGGATTTACAAAGATTTACAAAGAATCCTTGATTTTATAGAACCTTAAATTATCCTGATAAAGTCTTGTTTCGCATATTCCGAGTCTGATTTGATAGATTAATATCAGGCTTTGATTCTGTTTGAGCATGTTGAAGTCCTTACGAAAAACATTTAACTTGATGCTTATGCTGACTTGTGAATAAAATCATTTCGAATTTAAATATTTGTTCTGCACCTCTGTAAGTTATCGATAGGTCGCAGCACTGGTCTAAAGATTCGATATGTCGATCAGTTAGTCGTAGAAGGAGCCGAAGAACGCCAGCACAACACATAAAAATAGATTTGTTCAATTATTTTCGTTATGTTTTTTAGTTACGTTTAAATCTGTTTAATACGTGAATTATTAAATATATCTATGGAAAAATGGAATAAACAAATGGAAGAACTAAAGAGAACGACTAAAAAATTTTCTATTTTCGTGATGTAATAAGATGAAATTACTTGTTAGAGTAGCAACATGACTAAATAATGTCAATATCGAATTATGTTGGAATGTTGCATTTATATGATTTAAAAAAAAAAAAAAAAAAAAAAAATTGTAAGTAAATATAAAACAAATTATTCCTAAAAAATTTTATAAAAAATAATTTTCATTTAACTATAGCGTCTGCAGTAGTAGTGTATATTTAGTCTATATTTCAATTATTTAACAATAAATTTTGTAAAAAACAATCATTGTTGTTAAACTGTGTAACTAGTTGAAGGTCCGTGTTAGTGTCTATATAGTATGTATTTTCATATAAATACGCACTTACCAGGCACAATAATTGTATCATTCTTCATCCAATAATTGATGGACTTGGGATAAGCCTCCGATTGGCATTCGAGAGAAATGTTCTGTGCCAAAGCGGCGCCAACTAATTGATTTTGTATCCAAATCATTGGCGGAACTATAAATGGAAAAAGTTGAAGAGTCAGTGAGTGAAAAAGAGAGAGCGAGAGAGAGAGGCAGTGACAGAGTGAGAGAGAGAGAGAGTAGCAAATAGTTACGTGTAAAAGCGGAATGTAATTGTAATGGCAGCTCAACAATGTGGCTCACACGAATGCAATAGAACTAAAATGCTTTATATATTGTTTATATATATTTATACACACACACACACACACACTCATACATAGCCAGTTAACATTGTGGCATGTGGGCATGAGTCAAAGGTATTCGCATTCATATAAAATTCCATTTGTTATTGTTTGCCAATGCGATTTGTTGCGGTTTGCCCTCTTTTATTTATCCAACTAATTGCTTTTTAATTTTTATTAGAAAAGAGGTAGACAGAAAGCGAGAGAGGGAGAGAGAGAGATAGGGCCAGCTCAACGTTTGTTTATGCCCGAATACGTTAAGTTGCTTTTTACCATTGGGGCTTAAATGGTTTACCTCAAGTCTGACAGCATTTGGAATTTACGCGAGTATCCAGAGCATTTTCGAGCGAGTAAAGTTGCTCCGCAAATTGTTGAGCAACTAAAATTTTTATTTAATTAGCAGTGGAGTTGATAGTGAAAGGCAATAAAGGGGGAGGGGCGGACCGGCTGCAGTGCAGAGCAGAGCAGAGCAAAGGAGCGCTAAAAATGCTAACTAGCTGGGGCACACTTAATTATTTACTTTATGCATGGCACCTAAAAGTATGCAGCCAGACAGACGGACGGACAGACAAAGCGCCAAAGGGCGAGAGACCGAGTGTCGTAGAGGGTGAGGAGAAGGGGAGGGGGTGAGGTAGAGGGCAGCAGAGTTGTTTGTGCTACTCTCAGGCAATATTAAAATGCACAGCATATTTTCTATGGCAAGATTTGAAGTGGTGCTTGTGTGTGTGTGTGCTTGTGAGCACTGTCTGTGCTAGAGTCTGCAGCACATTGCTCATACGCCACCGTCACACGGAGAGCAGCTACAGAGAGATGCCATGCGGCGCTCTGGCGCAAAACTATAAATATTTAAATATGCAAAATTGATATGCACCCCAGCCGAAGGCAACACTTATTTTCCATATCCATGCCCACTTTTCCCGTTTCCCCATTTCCCCCATTTCCCAAATACTTACAGTGCACAATGAGCATGACGCGTTTGCTAACTGTTGGCGGTATGCCATTGGAGGCAATGCAGAGATAGGCGCCCATATTCAAGCGATTCACTTTGGCGATGGTCAGAAACGAGCCATTGTATGCGATAGCTGTGGATGGAGAAACATAGAGCAAAGAGTGGGAGAGAGCGATAGAGAGAGATAAAAGCATTATAAATTAATTAATTGCGATATTAAATACTTAGCAAACAATGCAATCATTCATTCAATTTCATATTAAATATTATTATTATTATTCCTTTTTTTTTTATTGTATATATATACAATATGTATTGTATATATTTATAAAAAATTCGTTTCGATTGCACTTTATAAACATTGAACTCAAACATTTACTCAAATGCATGACATATAAAAATGTATGCACTTAGTTAGTTTTATGTGGTAAGTTCAGAATGTAGATATACAATAAATATGTATTTTCAGCTAAGAGTTTCACAATGCCAACACCCAATACATTGGTGCATTTTCGTACTGTTCTTTTTTTTTACAATCAGTTCGGTGTAGATGCCATTTTTAGCCAATATGCATTCCAATTACAAATTTTCATAGAGCCAAGTCTCTGTCTTGTGTGATTGGCTCGAGCTCTCTCACCTAAATATATTTCCTAGCTGGCTCGGCCTCAAAATTGTTCGGTTGCCTTCTGCTGCACATTGGCATTTTATGGGTTCAAGTCAAAATGGTTGCTTGCTGACCGATTTATCGATTTGGCCAAGTGGCTGTAATGAATGTTTCATTTGCCACCACCACACAGTAGCTGTGTGTGTGTGTGTGTGTGTGTGTGTGCGGTTGGGCATGTGAATTGGAATGGCTCATTGCACGTTGCGACTCAGGCACCTGTCATACGCTAGCAAACATTATCGCCGGCACATTGTTGGCCAGCCTTAATGCACTCAATCGAGTATGTGATCAACTGCATGTGGTTTGATAAGCATCAAATAGCAAACTTGACTATTTTCTGGCTACTCTGGAGTCTATCATTCAGTCTGATCAATGCAGAACTAATCAAAACTCTGTGGCTGCAGTCTATTTAAAATGTTGCTGAGCTAAGTTTCTTTAATTTTTGTAAATAGTACAAATATAGAATAAAAATATCCTGCTAAATAATGATTTGTTGTGCAAAATAGTATGTAGGTCCACAGAAATAATACAATTTTTAAAATATTATTTAAAATGTCTGCATTTTCAGAGTCAGACAGTTGACTCCAGGTACTAAAAGCCATTCAATGATGCCAAAATATATCAAAGATTAAATTTTTTTCTTTAAAAATAGAAATATATAAAAATTTAAAACTTTCATAACGTAAAATATCAAAAATTCTGCATATGCTTAAAGTTCAAATTACAAGTTAGTTGAAACAGAATATCGATATTAATTTAAGATATAAAATAAAGAAATCATTATCGTACACTAAAAACAAATAAAAGAAAATAAAATAAAAATAAAAAAACTTTCTTATATTAAAAAAAATAAAATAAAAAATATATATATTTTTATATTTTAATTTTATTTTCTTTCTTTCTTTCTTTCTTTTTTTATATATATATATAAAATATTTATAATATTTTTGTCATATAAAATATAGATTTTCTAAAGGTTTCTTTCTTTTATAAAATTAAGATATTAAAAAGTTAGATTTTCATTAAAAATTCATATGTACCTAAATTCAAAAATTTCATTTACCATTTATTAAGAAATAAAATCAGATAAAATGAGCATACAAAAAGTAAAACTAAATTAATTTAAAATTATTTTTTTTTTTCATATTAAAATTACATAAACATAAAATTTTATAAATTAATCTTCAGTAATTGTTTTATAATTTTGAATAAATAATTATAATAATAATAATTATTATTATTATTAAAAACAAAATAATTAAAAACTAAATATTGATACAAACAAATATATAATATATATAATAACTGAATGAATTTATATATTATATTTAATAATGTATTATATATTATAATATAAACTGGAATATCCCTGAAATTGTCAGGTCCTAAATCTAACTCATAAAGTTACAAAAATAATTTATTATTTTTATTTTTTTTTTTTTTTAGCTGAGTAAAATTTATCAATTGTCTTGTGTTAGCAGAGCAATGCTTAGGTCTTCAATCGTGTTGGTTTGCCCTTGCAATAAAATACTCCCCATCCATAAATTCGAGCTCGCAGCTTAATTCTTACAGCCGTCTGCCATGAATGCAGTCACGAATGGCCCAGTAATTATGGCCAGGCGTTAGTTATAATTGAGTCGTGCTGCAGTTGGCTGCACTCACGTTTCTTTGATTGGGGCGGGGGAAGTCGCCTTAAAACGCAGCTCATGCAACTTAATGCGAAGAAAACACGCGTCTTTGTTTGACTTCGACATTGGGGCAAATAATTTACATGGTGACCCGCAGAATCTTTCGCCAGAGTCCATTTGTCATGCATGCAGCGTGCAAATGCAGACACTCACAGAAAGAGAGAGAGAGAGAGAGAGAGAGAGCGAGGGAGGGAGAGCGGGAGAGGTTGTGGTACTTACCCTCAGCTCCATTGGGTAGTGGTATCAGCTCGCCACCTTCGCGTCGCCAGGTTATCGTTGGCGTTGGTGACCCGGTCGCGGCGCACTTGAGGGTTACGTTTGACCCCTCGCGTATGACCATGTCCGTGCTGGTGGGATAGTCCAGTATGTCTGGTGGCACTGTGTGTGCACACACACACACACACACAGATGGTTATGGCAACAGTTACAAGCGACATATTATTCATACGCCGCGTGGGCCGTGCAGCGATGCAATGGAGTCCATGAATTGTTCGCCAGGTGTCAGCAGTTGGCAGCAGCAGTGTTTGTTCATTGTTGTTGTTGTTGTTGACATTGTTCGTCGGTTGGTTATTTGGTTGGTTTACAGTTGTTGTTGTCGTTATTGTTGTTGGTGACATGTGAGTGAGAGAAAATGCAATAAAGAATTTTTGTTGAGTGGCTTTATTTCATCAGGCTTTTAACAAATTGTCGCTACTCTGTCTAACTGTTTCGGGGCCATAATTGATTATTATAAATTTTGCATAGGTTTAATGTGTAGGTACCAAAAACGTGGAGTATTTTGCTAAATAAACAATAACACATTAAATAAATATAAAATATATGTAAATATTTTTACAGGTAAATTTACGCAACTTTAGAGTTGCATAGTTTTAACGTGTAAAAACATAAAATGTTGAATATTTTTACTGAATTGCAATAAATCTTCAAGTAAATATAAGATATTTTTAAATAATTTTTGAATATTATAATATCATTTTGCAGTTTTTCACAACTTCACTGAGTTATTGACGCTTACTTTTGGTATACTTCAATCCAGAAGTTTGTAATGTAATATTGTACATATGTTTATAATATCAGCCTTGGCTGTCATACTACAACAGCAGCTGAAGTAGATTTTATAGAGATTTCCACAAGGTAAATCATATTAATTGTATATTGAGATTTACTTAATTTACTTTCTACTTGATGCCACAAAATGTTGTGCTATGGTCAAAACTTAAATAAACAGTCATTTGTGCAATTAAAGTCTTGTGCAGCTGCGACATCTTCAACAAGTTTTGGGCGCTGCACAAAGTGAATGAGGGACTCATGCATATCCTACAAGGACACGTCGCTTGTTCCCATTTTTGACATTTACATGCAGCGAAAGCTGCAGCCAGCGAGAGAGAGAGAGAGAGAGAGAAATAGAGAGACAGAGCGACAGGACCAGGGACTGGGACACGGATCCAGGCATGGTTCGGACACAGACCCGGACCCGGACCTCTCGTCTGTTGTGCGTGCCAGTCTCTGGTGTTACTTGGCAATTAATTATAATTTCACGCTTGACAATTTTTCACTTGCCAAAAAGAGAAGTGAACGACAGCGGCAAGCAATGGGCAGGGGGAATGGGCATGGCAGGAGACTGTTTGCTGGCCACTTAATGAGGCAGCCGTACGAAATGTGCATTTTATAACTGGAGCACTTAAGAGCAGTTTTCAACAGCAGTAATTTGCCAAATCTATATTACACCATTAGCCAATCCAAAGGGAAAGCTGAGTAAAGAGAAAGAGAGGGCGAGGGCGAGTCAGAGAGGGAGGCAGCTTCTACTCAGCTATGACGCATGTCGTCTACACATCGAAACTTGAAAGTCCTCGTGTAAACAATGATGGGCATGTTTTACAAAATGTACTTTTTGCTTTCTCAATCCACACGCGCACACCCGCATTCACTCACGCATTACGTATACGTCATGTTGAACAAGTTGAGTAGGCCGCACAGCGCCTGTTGACTTGGCCGTATTGGTCTCTGGCCCTGTTCCTCCCCTCAAACACAAAGAGCCGCCCCAAAGGTGTGGGGCAAAACGTTTTTATCGCCGCTGTGGCTCAGTGGGTGATAATTTATGAAATGAAGCGAAATGTGATGAAAGATAAAAATTAATTCCAACTGCGCTCAAATTGGGCTCTTGCCTTAGGCACTGACAACAAAATTATACTATATATTTATATATATTGGGATTAGGCATTAATCTTAATATATTTTATAAATGAAAATATCTGCCACATCCATATCTGAGTGCCTAATTGTATTTGAGGCTTTGTCTTTTTCTTTCTATATTATATTAATAGTAAGAAATCATTTTTTATACTATGCAAAATAAATATACAAATACAATAAAGCAAATAACATTAATTTCGATAAGCAAAATAAAAATTAATATTGAAAAAAAAAAAAAAAGGATTCTCAAAACGTAAGAGATATTGTTAATTTTTAACTATCTATGAATTTGCTCTATTTATATGTGCTGAATCTGAAAAACGCTTGCGCCTGAGCGGGCTGATCTTGTTGATGGTCAATGTCTATATATGATCTGTACTATTTATACGACCTCGCCAAAAAGATGCGTTACATAGCTATTATCTAATAGGAGTGAATATTCTTTTACTCTAAAAATCAATTAATTATGTTTCCGTCGTCATTTCGACGTTGTGAATATTTCCTAATATATATATACATATTATATTTAAAAATGTACTTTATTTCATTACTCGCTCTAATGTACTATGGATCCTCAACCATAAGATCTGTATCGCATCGTTAAGATTAAGTGCATCTAAATTAGTTTTAACCTATCGTATATTCAGTTATAATAAAGACTAATTAGTAATGAGCATTACGTTCGTATTAAGTGATTTCATAGCCGAAATCACTTAAATGTTTGTTAAATGAAGCAATATTGCTACGTAGCAACACTGACTTAGTTTCTTACGTTATGTTGAAGTGAATGTCTGAAGAGACTAACTTCAATTAAATGAATATGAAAGCATTCATGAGTTCTGTCCGTAGCTACGCTCAGTCTCTAATATTCTATCACACAGTGATTCACCTTTAAATTGTGAATTACTGAAGAGACTAACTAAATTAATATGACCTTTTCCCAGATACCCTTAGTCCCTTACATTAAATCACATCGTGATTCACATTTCAAGAGACTAGCCTAAGTTAATATGAAAACATTTATGAGCTCTCTATAGCTACGATTCACCTTTCAATTGTGAATGACACGGACCTTAACTAAATGAATATCAAAGCATTCATGACATCTGTGGAGCTATACTGACTAATGATTCGTAAAGTTATTCATGCAGCTGCAGCACAATTTTACTTAACTCTTAACTCTCTTCGCTTAAGCTGAGCAGAGATCTCCCTCGAGCTGGACGTGCTATGGAAATTAGAGATGCTGGAGACAGCTTCTGGAGATATTTTTGCTGCTGTCAGTTGTAAATTCGATGCATTAAAATGCCATTTTTCAAACATTTTACGCAATGCACTGAGTCAACAAATCCTGGTTCGATGTGTCCGCCCAACGTCGTTTTGACACTTTCACAGCTTTTCCACTTGAGTTCGTCCACTTGGCTGCGCTCCTCCTCTGATACACAGACAGGCAGACAGACAGACAGACGGACAAATAAACACAGACACACAGACAAACACAGTCGCTGTTCAAGGGGGGCGCAATCAAGCAATGGCCATCGCCTCCTCCACTGTCATACATCAAAGCTGACCGAAAATGGACAACAAATTTCACGTTCATAAAAAATTGTGGACACATTTTGCTTTTCATTTTGTTTGAGAATATATATATATCTATTTTTTTTTTAGTTTGTTTTTGTTTTTGCTCGTGTTTAATTGTTAAAGTTGTAGTGCTTTTGTTTTTGTCGCCTAACTAGTTGTTTGTGCCGCTGATTGTTTTTGTATGCAAGCCAGCGAGCCATTGAATTATTTATTCGAAACAATATATTTTGCCAATTGATGTTTTGCTTATGCTGTTAAAGGCATTGCCCGAACAAAGCCATATGGTTTATGCCTCTGTGGCTTGCTTCCATATTTTTCATTCGATTCTTTTAGCTATACATTTTATTTGATTTGCATCGCGAACGGGTCCAATAATAAATATATATATATATATGAAATATTTCACTAGACAAACATTTTCTAACGATGTTTGCTTTAGCTAATAGTTTGCGTAAATTGAACAATTTTAGCTGTTTGGAATTCATTTGTTTAGGAAGAGAGATATGAAGAATATTTTTTTGAGCTAATGCAATATTATTTTCACTTTTAATTGAGTAAAAAGTTTGCATTTAATTTGAACTGTCTTATTGAATTTTTGAATTTTTATCCGACGTGAAGATAATCTAATCCGTAATATAATTGGTAATATTATGTTTGTAGATTTATATACACACTCCCAATTACTCGCAAGTGCTCCTCAGAGGAAAACATTATTATTGTGAAAAAGTTAAAAATGAACTAGGTAAAATACAATATATATTTGAAGTCTAAATGTGCTTACACTAATTAATTTTATTTATTTTATAAATTTTAGTTTTTAATACCATTATGTATTTATTTATATTTCTGGAATATCTATTTTCTACAATTATATATGTTTTTATAGTATATTTCATTATTTTAGTATTTATATTGTTAAACACTTATTAAGCATTCTGGAGAAATTGTAAACAATATATACATACAGTACCGAGCAAAAATGAGTGAATGTTTCACAACTTTGACTTTCATCACGCATAAAAATTAAACCATACAAGCAAATTAAGATTTTGTTTTTTATACTTGTTTATTAGTTTGTTCTTAACAAATAGAAAAAGTTTCAACACTAAATCAGCTAAACTCAATTAATGAAAAATAAAAAAGCAAAAAAATCCACATAAACTCAATTTTGCACGTTTCATGAATTGCCTATACTTTGGCTCTTCTACTTCTCTTCTCAGCCGAAATCATCCAGATTTCCCCATAACTTAGCTCCTTGGGTATTCTTCATAGTCGTAGATTGAGCATGTAGATTTACCGTTATCTTAGTCCTTTTAATATTCTTATTTGTAAAGCGATTTGAAGCACATTTTCTTTTCGCAACAAATTTAAAATAATTGGTGAAATATAATTTTAAAATGTGGAAAATTTCAGTCGACATTGAAAATAGTGGTGTGTGCCTGACCGGGAAGGGATTTCCTTCGCTTATTATTGCCGAAAAGCTTTGAATCAGCCGAAATTTGACTCCGAAAACTCAAGTCAAAGGTTGCAAAAAACTGTTCTCGGGCTCTGACGCTCGCCTAATGATGTCGAAAATTAAGAAAAACAAGCTGCTAGCACCAAAGGGTGTTTCTCTAGCAATTAATAAAAATGTTAGCAAATGGACTGCTAGAAGAGAAATTCGTGGCTTCGGATATGTATCATTCGTTAAAAAACAAACCTGCATTGTCCGAAAAGAATATGAAGGCGCGTTTGAAATTTGCAAGGGATCACAAAAACTGGAGCATTTATGATTGGAAACGAGTTGTTTGGTCAGATGAATTAAAATTTAACCGTTTCCAATCATATGGAAAGCAATATTGCTGGTGCAGACCTGGAGAACGCATTCAACGACATCATGTAAAGGAAATCGTCAAACATGGCTGCGGCAGCATTATGGTTTGGGGATGCTTCTCTTGGTAGAACGTTGATCCTCTACATAGAGGAAGGATTATATGAATATTCTTCAAACCCACCTTCCCAAATTCACTGATAAATGTGCGTGTCCCCACAGAGAAAGGGTTTTCAACAAGATGGCGATCCAAAACATACTGTAAAGATTATTTAGGAATGGATAGGAAAGCAGAATTTTAAGCTAATTTTCGCTCCATACATATAGAGTCTATATATAAATCCTATCCCGACTTCAATCCTATTGAAAATCTGTGTTCAATAGTGAAAAGACGGCTGGGACAGTATGATGCAGCCCCAACGAACATTGACAGCTTATGGGAGCGCGTAGAAGCGGAGTGGAGCCAATTTCCGAAAGAAATGATTCAAAGTTTGGCTGAGAGCATGCCAAAAAAAGTCAACAAAATTATTGCTAATAAGGGTTTTGGACTAAATATTAAAAATGTTTAGTTTTTTTTTAGTTTTTAGTAGTTTTTTTTTAAACGTGCAAAATTGAGTTTATGTGGATTTTTTCGGTTTTTTATTTCTAATTTTTTGAATTTTGCTAATTTAGCCTTGCAACTTTTTTGTATTTGTTAAGAATACACTAATAAACAAACACACAAAAAAATTTGTTGATTTGCTGGTATGGTTTAATTTTTATGCGTGATGAAAGTCAAAGTTCTGTAACATTCACTCATTTTTGCTCGGTACTGTATATGTTTAAAAATGTATGTGACAAATAGCAAATTAAACTGTATATATTTCTTGTATATATGTATATATTATTTGTAAACTTTACGGTTCTGCTAAAGTTATGGATTATATTTTATCAGAGTTTTATTAATATTTTAAGTGTTTAAGTTTATTAAAAATTACTTAATATTAATATTAATTAACATTAACTTAATTATGATTATTTATTTATTTTATTTTTTTTTATAAATTTTATTCTTACTATTTATTTATTTAAATATTAATATTAATTAATATTAACTTATATATGATTATTTATTTATTTTATTTTTTTTATAAATTTTATTCTTACTAATTATTCATTTGTATTTATTTTCTTTAAATTATTATTTTTTAATGTATTAATATAATATATGTGTAAAACAGGGCGCCAAACTTAATCAAATAAATCCTTGAAATACTAGACCCTTTCAGCATTACAATGCGCTTAGAAATATTTCTAAAATGCATAAATACGTTAATAATTAAGCTATTATTACGTGCCGCAATATCTGTACTTTATAGTTCAATTCCCCAATTGAGTTCAGAGAAAGCTCAACAGAGCGCTGAAAAGTATGCTACATAAAGTCGCACACTTTCTCTGTGGCAGCGCTGAATTGCTTTAAAGCCGCTGCTCCACTCGTTTTGCTTACCAACTTTTGTTCATTTGGGTGTGAAGCGGTTGTGACACTGAACAAAAAAAAAAAAAAAAAGCAAACTGGCAAAATGCTGACACAATTTGTAACTGTTGCTATGTGAACTGACAAATTTCGCGCTGTGTAGGCAGCACATAATGTGTTTCGACATCAATGAAAACACAATCAACCAAAGTGGTTACTTACGACCGTAGTAAAATGCCGCGGTTTTTGGGCTGAAAATGAGTGGGGCGAGTCCCGGCACGAAACGGCAAGCAAAGCAAGCCAGAGAGACCCAACCAGAGACCTAACCATGCCTTGGGGGCGGCATATTCATTTAAAATCTGTCTGGGATCCGACGCTGAGCTTGTCTCCTCTGAGGTTTTTGTACGCCAGCTGAATAATTAACGTGGGCACATGCCCAGACATGGACACGGACACAGACACGGGCATGGACATAGAAACGGACATGGAAATGAACATATACATATATATGTGTATATGTATGCATTAATATAGAGAGCGCGAGGAAGCACGTAGCATGTAAATTGTTTCATTACCTTTCACTTTGGTCTGGGCCAGGTGCCTTCCGACTGTTCATTGTCTCAATCGGGCGCACAGGTGAGGGAGGGTGGGCAGCTAACTAATGTGGTGGCTAAGTGAAAAGTAAGGCGGCTTTAAAAAAACGCCCTTGTGCTCGGCTTAAAGAGCCGGCTAACTCAATTAGCCAATAGTTTGCAAAGCGTTCGCCCCTTTGAAGCGCAGCAATTAGACTCAATCGTGAGGTTGTTGAAAGTTGTGCACAACTTTTCCGACTCTCGATTGGAACACCTAAACGACTCCACTCGCCACTTGGCTGAGCAATTAGCGCAATTTGTGGAACAAAAACAAAAAAACTAAAAAGAAACAAAAAAAAAAGTATCACAAATTGTGGGCATCAATTGATCGATTGAACGCCCAGACAAATAACAATTCAATTCTGCCTCATACTCGCCCCTAAACGTTAATGTACGTGTAATTGTGCTGGGTGAGTGAGCATTGTTGTTGTTGTTGTTTGCTTCTTACTGAAAGTAGAGTACGAACTGGCCGTTCAGCTACTCAACTAGCTGCTGTAGATTATACGCCTCTAAGGCATTTTGTTTACTCACCGACAACATCCAAATAGCCGACTTGACTCTTCATCGGATCCGTGTTTATTTGGCACATATACCTGCGGGTTGTAAAGGAGTTTTCATGTGAGTCAATTTCGCTGTTTCCATGTCTCGACTCGAAGCGAGCTCCGATAAGAAGGCATGCGTGAAAGCGTTTTATGGCAAAATGCGAACATAAATATGAAATAAACATGATCGTAAAGCGCTGTGTAAATAAAAACTACGAACTGCATAGCGCAAATGGCAGCAGTTTAATATATGGGGGAAAAAAAAACCGAAAAGTAAATCAAAAACAATATAAAACATAGAGAAATTCATGTTAGATCAAATAAAGGCGTATCTCAAATATAATGAACTGCTTTAAAAAAGAATGTGTTTATTTTTAGAAAATATTCAAAGAAAATAAAATGAGAGTGTAAGAAAGCAAGTTTGCTAAAAAATTTAAAATATAATTTAAATTTTAGAAAATCTGGAGAAAGAATAATATAAAAATATTAAAGAAAGTTGTGTTGTGTTTAATTTAAATTTTAGAAAATATGGCAAAACAAACAAATTTATATATATTTACATATATAAATGTATGTATATGTATTGAATTACAATAATAAAATGAATACAACATAATTATATATCAAACACAGAATAAAATATAAAAATAAAAAAAAAAAAAAAAAAAAAAATATTTTAGAGAATCCCATTTGAATATAAAAATTTTAGAAGCATGCCTGAATATGAAACAATTGTGTAATTTTCATTTTTGCAATTTTCATTAAAAAAAAAAAAAAAAAAAAAATCAACATTATTTCTATGTAGTTAACTGCATTGAATGCTCCCCTATATTTAGTAATTAAATATTATGCTTTTTAGTAACTAATAAAACAAGTTTAAAAATAATAAAAATTTATTAAGTTAATCACTTTTTTTCTTATAAAATTATGTAAAATTTTATTAAATTTGTGCAAATACAACAACAGATCTTAGAGACCTTAAGCATAGTATATTAAAATTAAATAATAAATATACAATAATATGTGCTAATCTGTCTAATCGATCCATCCATAACAGTCCAATACATAACAGATACATACAAGATCTAAAAACAAATATTAAATTAGTTACTAATTTTTTAAAACCAAAAATTGGATAAAGATTTATGTTAAGATTTTTTTTGAGATTTTTAATTTTTAATTTCTGCTTTAAACACATTTTAAATGGTTCTGTGCACTTTAAATGGTTCCGTGCTCGTTTTTATCTATAATTTATAACTAGCATATAAGGATATGAAATAGATATACATATATATATATATATATATATATATAGAGTTTTATAGTGGTGTAAATTTAGTTTAGTACCATCCTTTGTCGGACTCCTTGACATCACGTATACGCAGTATCCAAGCACGTTTCTCGGCGTGAGTAATGCTCATGCGATGATTTTTGGTTATGACGTGATTTTGTATCGTTAAAATCGTCTGTGTATCGACACGTAGCCACGCAATCTACACAAAGAGAAATAAATACACATATATATATACATATAAATGGATATATACGTGAGTGCAAAATTATGAAACTAAAACGCTCGACTTGCTCTAGGTGCAAAGTTAATGCCCCGCTAGCGTGGCCCAAGCTCATTTATTAGCCCAAAGACACCAAAAATGTCGCCGAAAGGCGGCCAACGCTTTGGCTAATAAGAAATGTGGGGCTCTGATGTAATAAGTGTTTTAGCTTTAAGTTGTGCCATTTTAAATTGAAAAAAGTGAAGATTGAAAATTGACTAAGTCATGCTTTGAGTATTCCTTATTGCATAGTTTACATATAATTACTATACAGTCTGGAGCACTTAAAGTTGGGCATAGACAACCGAACAACTTAGGAGTTTTCATTTAAATGTATTCCGGTCTATGGCGTTTACGGTCGTTTTGTCGTACTCGTAGAGCGCTCAAGTTATAAGGTAGAGATATTGTTGTCTTTTTGCATATAGCACTCTGTTATGAAAGACATCAATTCACTAGCTTTCAATTTGTACGCTTAAATGCAGCAACACACAGTGGACAACGGACGATGGACGATAAACTAGGAACAATGGCAAACAACATTATTTCGAATTGCCAACATAATAAGCATCACATTCACCATTAGAGAATGGGCGGCTGGCCTACGATATCATCATCATCGGGCGGCAGGCCAGCCCATAAGATTATCAATTCGTTGCGTGTCCCTTGGCCAGGTCCATTTGCCACCTTCATTGGGAATGGGCCTAAGAACTGACTAACAAAAATTTGTGGCCAGCCGTTTGCTATTTTCGTTTTTCGGCAATTCATTGAGCAACATTTTGTGCTCCTCTGCTTTTTTTCTGGTGGCCTTTGCCGGGGTCGGTCACGAAATCAAAGTGACGCCCAAGGGGCTTGAAACGTGCTTCGTTTGCCGGGAAGTGAAAAGTAACTGGAACTGAACGGAAAACCCTTACGAAAAAGGGTCAACGCAAATGGCGCACGCATTATGCGTTTAACGAGACGACACGCACACAAAGTGGGAAAGAGAGAGAGGCAGAGAGAGAGAGAGACAGAGAGAGTGAGGCAGAGAGACACCCACCTACACACACGCAAAGCGAAACTATGCCACGTTTTATTTGATGAAGTGTAAACTGTTTGAAATGACAGCTTCGCCGGCAAATTTCCATTAGGAGCAACACCTAGCCGAGCAGCGGGCTCATCTAATTGGTAACGGATTGCCAAACTATCATGGGTCACGCCCACTAAACGCCCATTCGAGGAGTCGACTTACCTTATACGTTTGCAAATTGTCAACGACACACTGAAGCACAGCCTCACGACCAACTGGCACGGTGACGTTCTGCAGGAGTTCTCCAAACTTGGGCAAATCTGCAAATTGAAATGAGAAATGAAGGGAATCGGGTTAACTTTGGCAATTGGAGTGCGCACTGAATCGGTCTAATCTAAAACAAGGTACATATCAGAGTGTTTCCCGTATTCGAGTTTTGAAACCTCTGTATATACCTTTCATTAGATTCAACCGAAAGTCCATAAATATTGATATATGATGATGATTTTCCAATTGTGATGAAATCATTGAGTTCAACTTATCTTAGAATAGGGGAGCTTAACTTAATCTGAACACTCAAGCTAAGAGCCTCGATTCTTCGATAATGCGACTAACAGCAACTAATTTAACTGTGAGAGTGATTCGATAATTAATTAACTAGCAATTCATATATATATAATAAAAAAACTCTGTTAATATGTAAATAACTAAAATCTGCTAATATTATAAGTGCACACTTCAGAAAAAATTGAAATATATATAATTTTATAAATATAATAGATCCAAACTAAACAGAACTAGAGAAAAGACGGAGAGAGAGAGAGGGACAGCGTTAACGAGTTACTGTGAGAAAGAGCGGCAATGAGAGAGAGGGAGAGACAGAGAGTAGCAGAGACACACACAAACAGCAAATGAGAGAGTGAGAGAGAGAGAAACACAGAAAAACAGAAAGTGGGAGAGCGAAAGCTATAGATAGAAAGATACAGCCTATGTATGCACCTACATTATCTACCAACTACCAATTCGTATTGAAGAGAAGTGCTTGAATTTATATTATTATATTTTATTATATATTATATTATTATATTTATTTAATATAGTTTTTTATATTTCCCATAAAATTTGTAATATTTATGTTAAGAGCGATATAAATATATAAACAAAATAAATAAATAAACAAAATAAATGATCAAATGATAAAATGATCATTAAAATTTACAAACGTCTACTGAAGAACAACAATACAGAGCTCATTCTATGTATGTCGGACACTAACGACTGATGCAATTCCACATTAAGCTAAAATCTATTTATCACTTTATTTAAATGTGTATTTTCAGGTGGAACCCCAATGTCAGAAAACCACAAGGCTGAAACAGCATATTACCCCTCGATCATACGCAATATAATTCATAAATATGTATATAGATATATCCAATTAGATATAATAAATTAAACGCATCCAAATAATTGTAATGTTTATATAAATAATCCAAAATGTTGTTAGATATAGCGGAAATTATGTGCAATAAAATAAAAATGGAATAAACTAAAGAACCTCATTTATTTATTTCACAAGGATATACTTTACAGGGAATTTTTGTTTAAATATCAACGGTCAAAAATAAACGCTTTAAACAAATTCGATGCATACTTTAGGGGGCGCCCGTTTTGGCCGATGGAAAATGACAAATTTTGACTAAAAATGCAGCAGAATTACCAGGCGAACAGAAATGATTAGCAGGGTGAAAAATGTTAATTAACAGTGCATTAACAGGAAAATGTTAAGTTAACAGAATTCTGTTAGACCACTGTTAAGTTAACAGAATTCTGTTAGTCCTCTGTTAAATTAACAGGATTATGTTAATGTAATGTTAAGTTAACAGTTCATTAACAGTGCACTGTTAACTAACATTTTTGGCCCTACTACCTATTTCTGTTCGCCTGGTACTTACGTTTTATTTACGTTCAAAATTGAGTCTTAACGGCTACGTGAGGCTATGCGGAGTGATTTTTTCTCTGTAATGTACATATACAGCGCTCTGTTAAGCAACCATATCAATTACTTTTCGGTTATGATTCACGGAAATTCAAACCTTATATATAAAAAATATCCCAGGAAACCCAGCTGAAAATGATATCAAACATAATTGGGCCATTTCAATGCGCATTTCGCAATGATTTAGACCTTTTAGGTTCTTTAGGACTATATCAGAGGTATAGGAAAACCAAAGATATATATGAGTCAACTAGGAACCATTGCTAGAAAAGGGGCATGAGGCAGCTGAAAGAAAAATCATACATAATCATTTAATAATTTTGCCGCGCATATTGCACGAACATGAGCATATTGGTTCATCAGGACTATATCTATGGCATGGCTAAAGCCAAGGATATGTTTGTCAACTGAAAACCTAATTTTGCTGAAAAACATAAAATACGCCATGAAATATTTAATTTAATGCCTTAACGTTATATAAATATATAAAAAAAAACGACTGATATATATATATATATATATATATATATATATATAAATTTTAAATATAATAATAATTTTAAATATAGTTTTATTGCAGCTTTTATCGTAAACTCTATAGCGCATTTATACCTTAAACTGCTATATTTACTATCTGAATTTTATTCTAGTTTATTTTACTGAATTGAAATATGAAAATAATAATATTAAATATAACATAATAAGTAGATGAATTTAAATATATAAACAACATGTAATTATGTATGGCTATAATACTTATAAATGTGATAAAGAAGAAAAGTGTGATGTGTTATCCTATATGCTTTTAAATGAGAGCAAATTTAGCATGATAAAGCTGATGAGCTGGGGGAACGTAAGAGACATGTGCAGATAGACAGATCGCAATCTTTTTACATAATAAAAACCTCTTTCAACTGTAAATCTATTGAGCCAACTAACGATTTTCTGCAGAATAGGGTACTCCTATAAATGATCAATCAGAGTCTGCACACAGACGACGAGCAAATAAATGATCCACCAGGTAATTTGGCTTCACAAAATGTGAATTCTTATCAGCAAATATTCTTAATGATACATATACACATATCGATATTTAATTGGAAAAATATATATTTATAAATGTTCCCAAGCAAACCGAGAATATTTACATTTACAAGTATATATATATTAATACTAATATTATGCAAATAAGTTGATCAGTACGCAATAAAATTCAGCTTGACAACCTATACAAAAAATAAATAAAATAATAATAATAAACAAACGACACAATAACATTTTGTGGATAACAAGTGATAAGGCCAATATCTATATATATATATATATATATATATATATATTTTTTTTTTTTTTTTTTGCGGGCTCTTCCTAGAAAACATTCAGTTCTCAGTCTACTTTTAGCTTTTGCGCAGTCAATCAATGCTTCAGTGCTCAAATGCCCAGCGAAGCGCTCAAATGCGCGGGTTGACTTTAAAGGCGCGCCCGCAAGTATGCAACAGATTTGTGGTTTTGAGTGACAGCCTTTAAACGTGAGCCCACACACACACACACACACACACACTACTTACTCAATTGTCGGCTGGTTTTTGTGTGTGTTTTCGTGTCGTTGACATGCCAAGAGGACCTCAACAATGTTGGCGTTACGTATACGCCCCCGTGAATGTTATGAAAACAAGAACGACAAACAAAAAAACAAAGGAAGCGCAAAGGAGCCGTCGCGTCGGCTGGGGAATGTTTTCTTATATGCGGGGCACGCGTCAGTTAAAGCAAATCAACACATAACAATCTTGTACTCAAAATGCGTAAACAATGTGATAAGCAAAGAGAGAGCCACATCACAGTCGTTGGAGATGAGACGAAATGAGACGAGACGAGGCGAGCAGTGTGAGAATTTTGGTTTTCCATTTTTTTATTATTTTTATTTTTATTTTTTTTTGTGTATTGATGTGGCTTTAAATCTCACTTGCAAGGGGTAAACAGTGCAAAAGTATGAAAGTGTGCCCGACACTGAGAACAACAGCAATGCCAGCAACACAAGCAACACAAGCAGCAACAGCAACTTTATGTGTTGTTAAGTTGTTTGTCTGTTTGTATATGTGTTTTGCGTCTTGTCATGTTGCGGATTGCCGACTAATCTCTGTCTAAATATCACGTTCAGCATCATTTAGTATACACTAATCTGTGATTCAGGTACTTCCATTGTCATATAAAGGTAGCGAAGGAAAAAATTGAAAATATTTTATATAAAATTGTAATTTAAATAAACATAATTATATAATTTGAAAAGATTTTATAAGATACAATTGTATTGAAACTGAAAATAATTAGAGCAAAAATGAATATAAATGTTACATGAAAAACCAATCAGACTTTTTCTTTATAAAATAATTTACATTAATGGCATAAGCCTTAATCAGCCAACTATGTTAACCTGCTCGCGAGATAGTTGCATTTCAGAGGGCTAAACATTAGCTAGCCTTCTTTAGATTTAAATTAGACACAAGGTTAACTAAATAACATAAAGAAACATTTCTTAAAACAATAGAAAAAAAGAAAAAGAATAACAAAAATAAATTCCATATACAATTCTAAATTAACTACCACTGTTAATAGGCTGTTAATGCAAGAGATCATTTACTGAGAAAGTAAGAATGTAGAGCTGCCCTGCCACAATTTTAACATTTTGCAAATATGTTAAGCAACACTGTGCGAAACTCTCTAAAAGCATTGCGTAACTTTTTAATGTACTAATGCGACAAAGGCTTCAAACCAATCTCCATCAAAATTGTGACTCGACAGTTAAAGAGCTGATAAAAAAGCAGCCTCGAAATCGGTTTTATAAACTTGTCGCCATTGAAAGTAGGCGAAATGTTTGTAAAGCCATTGTAGTCACAAAGGAGCAAGAGCATTCAAGCTTCGGCTATTCTGTTTGCTAATCGTTGCGCTCAAGTATGCTCCACTAGATAATAATAATGGCACAAAAGGGGGGACACAGCAAGTGCCACGAATGGCTGCGCTCTACACGGTGACTGTTAATAAGGCTTGAATATCCAGCTACTGTCGCGTCAATAAAAATTTGCCACAGACTGTCCTGCGAATATGTGTGTGTGTGTGTGTGTGTTTCTGTCCCAACTGGCTTATTATATCACTGTCTCGCTTGCACTCAAACTCAGTGTGTGTGTCTTCCTTCTCCTCTTTCGTTTTGGGTTTTCTGTTGTTGCCTTTTGCCAACTCATTTGATTTGGCTTCGTTTATATTGATATGTGCCAGCCCGGTCGCCTCAGTCTCTGCCTCTGGCTTCTCCACTCTCTCGCTCTTGCTCTCCCTCTCGTTCACTCCCACCCGTTGCGTGTATTTTTATGGCATACTTTTCGGCGCGTTCGTGTGTAAATATGTGCAAATTCGCCAAATTCGTTACATATTTTGCTCTGGCACATCATTCCGGGCAGCTTTGGGTGTGATTGTTTAGTGGATTTATGGGCACATGAAATTAGGATTTAATGTGCATATGTCTTGTGCGTTGAGTGGATTTATTGCACATCCTCATGCACACGTCCCCCTCTCCTCACACTCTTCACTCTGCCCCTCTGTGCTTAACATAATGCTTATGATATATGCGAATAAAGCAAATCGTTTTTAAGCTAACCCAAGGGTGCGCCTATTTGTTGTGGTTCTTTGTGTTCATCCTATGAGTAAACTCAGTTTATGTGTAGGTGTATATGTGTGTGTATTGTGAAGTGGCTTAACTGCTAAGTCCTTCGAAGTAAATAGCAAAGCATTTGGGTTAAGCTTTGCGAGGCCTGGTCTTATTTATTTATTTTTATTTATTTTTTTTTTTTTTGAATATTGGTAATTGTAATCTTGTCTGTCAGAAGAGCACATTATGTCGATAATAACGTGCTGGGATTAAGCTGGATTAAAGTAATGTAAAGGTAATGTAATAAAAATTATATGTATGTATACAAATTGTTTCGATTTGATGATCAATGAAAATAAAAAAGATATTTATTGATTAGCATAAGAATGAATAAATAATAAATGAGGCATACCAATTTTATGCTCTTCCTTCCAATTATTACAATATTACGGAAGAAAATACATGTATATACATGTATTTATAAATATTTTTTTTTTTTTTTTTTGAATATAAAACATTAATAAAAAGAATATATTTAACTGAAAATGGATTTAATAAAGTCAAGTAAGTAAGTTATATGCACAGCAGAAAAATTAGAATTTCCCAAAAATGAAAACTGCCATAAAATTAAAATAATATTAAAATTCTGTTTGCTCAAAAACTATTCGAATATAATTTGTGTTAAATTAATTTTGTATTCAGTTAATTAATAAACACTTGGGTAACACTGCACGCATTTGACGTATTCAGCAAAATATTTATTCATGAGCATTCATATTTCAAAAAATAATTTAAGTTAAATTTAATTCTATTCATTTAATGAATGTTTAGATATTTATCATTGCAAGAATTTTATTATTCAGCCAAATACTTCAATATTTCAACATGAATACGAAAATTTCATAAAGCAGAGAAGACTGCTTATCAAGCTTTGCTTTAAATTCTGTGAATGAAATGCTTTATAATATATATATTGATATACATTCATTAATAACAATATTAATTAGTTTGAGCTAATTGAAATATGGGACAAGCTCAGCAAAGTAGATTTTAGTCAATTTGCTGAAGCTAATTGAGCTTTTAATAAATAAATAATTAACTATAACACATTTAAATTTAAAGTCAATTAAGTGTAAATATAATAAATAGTTATAAATTTAGTTGTAATCTATATTAAACGGCATTAAGCTCTCATACTTTTGCATATATATGTATATATATTATTTTAATGGTAATAGACAGTTCAATAAGAATTTGTTTAAAAACATAAAAAAATCATATACGCATATATATATAAAGAGATATTAATAAGTATATGTGTGTATGCATTAGAATAAAAAAATAAAAATTATAATAAAATATTTTTTAATTGTTCATATATATAGCTTTAATATTTATATTTTTTAAATTAGAATAAATATATACTTTACCTATATATGTGAATGTAAAAATTCAAATAAGAATAATAATATAATCAAAAAAAAAAAACAATAAAAATAAAAATAAAAATTGTGATTTGTGTTCATTACTCCATTCTTTGTACAGATGCTTGCTTGCTTCTGTTAATCTATAAGAAACAATTTATTTCAAATGTTAAATAATATTTAATGCTAATCTTCCTGTTTCGTTTTCTTTTAGCTACTCGCCTCACACACAGCTCATATTATTATTATTTTCGTTTGTTATAAAACACAATTATGCAACCACTTTGGCTTATCGCTGAGTGGATTTTAGGCCGCATTCTCAAGGCATTTATAAGCCAACTAGGCGCATTTCCGCTCGCACACTCTCGTTCAACTTTAAGCTCACTTTATTAAGTCAACTCAACGCGACTCGACTCGACTCGACTTGACTCAGCTTGGCTCGGCATTTCAACTTAATAAGCACAGGAACAACAACAACAACAAAAGGAACAGGCGGCAAATGGCGCTATTTAAATGCTAAACAACTCTATTAAGTTGCACGACACACACACATACACACACGCAACACACATACACAAATACATTTACCAACCAAGGACAGATTAAGCTTCAGCATTTCTTTTTTTTTTTCAGTCGAAGTTTAGCGCTTGAACTGGAACTGGGGCTGAGGCTGGGGCTGGGGTGTTTAGGCAGAAATGGAACCTCAGCACGTTTCAAATACAATTTACAATAAATAAAATTTAAAAGCGAGAAAAAATGCTGCGACAACAGCAGCAGCAGCGGCAGCAGCGGCAGCAGCAGCAGCAGCAGCGGCAGCGGCAGCGCAGCAACTGAAGACAGACACCGAATCGCGTCGGACTTAATGCCGCCTAACGGTGAATGGAAAGTGAAGGCCAGAAATGGGAAGTGAGCACGTGATGCTTGGCGCAAGAAACGCAAAACACGCGACTGCAGGATGAGCTTAAGTATACCGAATAGTGTATGCTCTAACGAGAAAACTGAAAGAGATACAGAGAAAAATAATTGAAAATAATTAATATAAAATATAAATTAATAACAAAGTTCTGGGACCTCTTAGCTTGTTAAAATAATTATTGATGATTTAACAAGAAAATTATAGTAAAAATGTTGACGTGGAGGCTGGCGGATGCGTTTAACGAATCAAGATGAAGAATAAGTTTTGGGTAATTCCGTAGAATAATAAAAAAAAAGTGTATGTGCCTAAGAGACAGTGACTTGTAGAAAAAAGTAATGAGAGTACTTAGCATTTTTTAGCTTATTAACATTTTTTCTGGTAACAGTTTCCATTCTAGTTTATTTAGTTTCTGTTACTGTATATACATATGTAATTGACGTATTATCAAAACTGAATGCTTTAAGATTTCTAATATCTGATGTATATATATTGTATGTATGTTTTTATATATTATACAATTTAATAAATATTAATACATAAATATAATTTAATTCATATTTAAATAATATATATAGCATATATGTGCATATCTCTAAATCTGAATTCAAATTAGTTTCACATATTTAATATGTTTATTTATATATATTTAACAATTAATTTGGATATTCGAAAATATTGAGCCTTACATTTATTTCTTTATTTTTATTTTTATTATTATTATGATTTTATTTTTATTTTTTTATATTTCTTGTAAAATTCCTGAAAATGTTACACTAACTTAAGCAAATACTCGAATCAATTTCCTGCCATCGTTTACATATAGGGAAATTGAAATAACTGCAATTGAATTGGCAGTCTGACATGAGGGGAGTGTTGGGGAGGAGGACTGAGCTTGCCAAGAGGAATGTGGATTGCAGGAATGTTATCTTACCTTTCTCGGGTATCACGTTGACAACGGTGTCCTCGCGTATATCTTCCAGCAGCTCCTCATGATTTTGCATTTCCGCTTTAAGAGAGAAACAGACAGAGAGAGAGAGAGAGAAAGAGAGAGTGAGATAGATAGAGTATAAGTAAGTGAGTGAGTGTTAAAGAGTTACGTTTTACATTTCACATTTTACAGATATTACGTAGTTAATTTGAGCTCGCTTTGCTCTGGCGGAAATTCAATTTGTGGTTTAAGCATTGTGGTTTAAGCCATCAATATGCGCGGATAAACAGGTTGCACAGCAACCGCCAAAAAACAACCCATACACACACACACACATGCACACAGCCAGCCACATAGTTAGGTAGTGGGCGTGGCTGTTCGTTTCGTACATTTTTCCAATATTTTAGCGCATTTGGCTCGGCGCCTTCTTTACGAGCAGCTTGCTGTAATTTTCAGTAACCGCAAAATGAAGTTCTGCACCAACTGCACAATTTGACTTTTGTGCAGCAGCTGCCAGTCCCATAGGGGGAGGCTCCAGAGGGGCGTGGCAGCTAACAGGTACTGGCAACGATGCCTCATCAAATATTTAGTAAATGCTGCGAAATGGCGAAATGTGCAAATGGATTTACGCTCACGCGCTGCCAATTGGATTTGAATTTGGATTTGCGTTAAATGATTAGTGTTTTTATTAGCCATTATTATTACTGTAATGGCATTACGCTAACTGTACATTGAACAAAGCTAATTGTATACATAAGGTAAGGGAAATTTATCGATATTAACTGGATATACAACATCACGATTATGTCGATTGAATAAGATTTATTGATAATTGCAAAACGGATTTGATGGTTGATAGCAGGTGGGTATGTGCGACTGACAGACACCCTGTACGGGGGCATCTCAGCAAGTGCTTTATATTTAAGCATAAAATTTTAATAAATTGTTTGTTATTGAGTAAATAATATTTATAAAATTTAACATAGATGATAGCCTATACCTGTGTTTTGTCAATGCATATACAATAATCAAATGACTTCAATAATTACTGATAATCAATATTATAAATAATCAAAATACGTATTAATTAATAATGGTTTGTAATATGGTAAAATGATAAATGCACGAAGCGTATTTTATTTATTAAAAGTTATTTATTAAAAGTCTTAGCCTAATACATCGAGTTTACATATAGAGTTCTGTCTCTAAAAGCAGCGGCAGAACGGGATATATATGTTTGTATGTTTGTATGTATATATGTATATATGTTTGTATGTACATGCAGAAGGCTACGGCGTGGACGAGAACGTAACAATGCTTACGTTGCAGATCCCACGCTGCAGGCCAGTCCATACATACATAAGTGACCGATCATATTACGGCCCTTATGTATAGCTGTTATAATATAAACAAAGCAACAAAGTGTTGCTATAAGTATGATACCCTTACTTATGTTGGGAATATGTTTATTTAACATACAACATACTACAGGTGAATGCCTGACTAGCAAATACCCTGTACGAAACTTTTTGCATTGACTTTATATATATTTTTGTGTTTCTAAATCATAATTGTTAGATAAGTGAATGCATATACGACCATGAAATATCCTGTTCTAATAATATAATTATATGATTAATGACTTTTAAATAATTTTACATAGAGTTATTAAATGAGAATAATAGAGGCTGAATTCATGACTAACAGATATCCATTAACGTCCCTGGCTCAAAGAGTTTGTATGCAATAATTAATAGTTGATAAATATGTGGTAAAGTAATTGGAAATTCAAAGTAAAAACTGGTACAACCAGAGTATACCCTGTAAGTGGGCCTCTCATTGAAATTAATCGAAAATTGACTGTAGCAGTGAAGGTCAAATATACCCTGTAAGGGGGATTCTCTGTTTCATTTGAAGCTTTGCATATAATAAATAAAAGAGAGACCAATAGAAAATTTGTTGGAGAAGTAAAAGTCAAATGATAGACAAGGTGAGAAGGTAAAAAGATAGTTATCCTGCGGATGAGCTGCGTATATCATAATATATTACGGACATAAAATTTCAAATTTTGCAGAGAATTTACAGTTTCAAAAAGCTTTTCAAAATAATTGTATTCAATGAGCCACTTTCTAACTTTTGACCAAATTTGCGGCCACTAAATTCTGGGCAGGTCCTGCCGAATCTACCACTACCTCTACATAATCTCTCCAGTCTGAGCTCAGGACTGTCAGAGATGTCTATTCAGCATCTGAAGTGGCTATGTCTCTGGCAACTACTCTAGGGTGGATCTATATTTATTTGATGAGCTGCTGCCCCATTTCACGGTCACGTCGACTCTGCTCGGCTGCTAAATCACGTCATGCCAAGCAGAGCGCAGAATGTGAGCGTACGAAAGAAAACACAAAGAAAATGGAAACTTTTTGAAGAAAAGTTGCTGCAAGGAGCAGCGAGTCGCTCTGTGAGGTGGCACGTACAATTCACTTGCAACATTTTTGGCACACACACACACACAGGCATACATATGTATATATGTATATGTATGTGTGGCCGGTGCAACTATGCGATACAAAATATTACAAACCGGCTGGAGTTGAGGCAGCGACGCGAATTGTTGTTGTTGTTGCTGCTGCAGCCGTTGCCTTTGATGTTTGGCAGCCCGAATCTGAAAGGCCTTATCCTCTACTCCAACCCTGCCGCCTCCGCCACCCCTAACTCTGCACTGAAATCGAATTTATTGCGTAGTTTTGTGCGTTGCGGCAAGAGCCACAAACTGTATTTGCCTTTTGTCAGCCAGCTGTGACATTTGCACAAAGTCATTTCGCCAGCTTCGCTGCAACAACAACAATTACAACTATAACTGCAACAACAACTCGCAGTTAGCATGTGTTTGGCGTTTATTAAAACGCCAAGAGTGCCAAATTGTTGAGCGTGAAAATTAATTGAAAATTTGCTTCATTTCACTGGCTTTTCCTTCATTCATTCATTGCGCATTTCGCATTATTTGTGTCCTTGCCTTTTCATTAAATATATATATTTTTATGACAATTTCTTTTTTTAGGCAAATTCCAATTCATTTGCTCTATTGACAGTGTGTCTGCACGCATCGTTTAGAGTCCAAGGTCTTTGCGCTTATAAATAAATAATTTTTTTTTTTTTTTTTTTTTTTCTACTACTTCCTTTTTTTTTTTTTTTTTTTTTTTTGCTGGCTGTCATCGTGCCGAAAAACTAGGCGAAATATGTGCCAAGGTGGCTAAGTAAATGCCGCTAAAAATCAATAGCAATCGCTTTGGATAGACGAGGCATGTGGCACCCACAGAGCGAGACGGACGAAGGAGATAAAGCAAGAGTGAGCGAGAAAGGGACAGAGCGAGTTTGGTATATAAATGTAGCAAAGTAAACTTTTGCTGGTAGTTTCTGTGCCTTTCAAAAGTCGAATTACATTAAATTTATACAACTAAAAAAAACGGTGAGCAAGTCAATGTTGTGCTTAGACTATAAAGTAATATATTAAAGCGCATTCGAAATATATATGCATTTATTCAAAGTTTACCAGCTACAAAAAATTAAACAGCTGCGGCAATAATGAATTTAGCTGGAAGAAATTTGAAGGAAATTAATAAAACTGGAAATATGTATAAAATATTTACAATTGTTTTTGGTGGAAATATTCTTCAATAAAATATTTTAAATTTATTGTTGATTTCATAATCTATATTTGTAAGCACTATGTAGATAATATAGGCTGGAACTAAATTAAGGCAACGTAAATTATATTTGAAATAAAAAATAACTAAAAAGTTCTCGTTATATATTTTTAAATATATTAAAACTTAAACATTTTATAGCTTTCTATATTAAACTAAAATAGTCTGTGATTTATCTTTCCATGGTTTTATTATTTATTTACATATTTTTTATATTTTTTAAATATATTTTTGCATAGCAGTAAAGATAAATTTTAAGTTCTAAGCTGAATGCAAAGCTTTTACTGATTTGCCTCACTTACTATATACACATATGTATATATTTGTATATACATATATATATATACATATAAGTAAGTGAGGCAAATACGCAGACATACAACAAAATTAAGTAAGCGGCAAATCAATTTACTCTTCTCTTACTCTCTTACTTCTCTTCGACAATGAGTGGCAAAATACAAATATTCTATTATATATATGGAAATGAATAATATTTTAACGTTATCACAGAAATATTTTTTCACATTTGATGTGAATTTTCCTTTCTCTGCTCCTTATAACAGCTCATAAGCCCGTCAAGATGTATTTGCACCCCAGGCAATTGCCGCCACAAACATCAAACACTTTTTTTTTGGCTGTGCCAGACGTAAAATGCGAAGATGAAAAAATAAGCTAAGCAGCACAAAAAAGAGCAATAAGAAAATCAACGGCATTCGAAAGTGGATAATATTAAAATATATACACGCCACACTTGCAAATATAAGTGAATGACATATATATTTATGCAACTAACTCTTTGTGAGTATTACTTACGCAACGAAAAGTGGTTAACGCGTAACAAGTCCGATCACAGGGAAAGCTCAAAAGCAACTGACTATGCGTATGCTAATAAAACGACAGAAGATCAGAGCTAATTGAGCTACATTTTGGTAAACTCCAACTTGCCTATGCATTTGCTGTTGAGTGAGTGTAGTGGTAGATCGGCATAACAAGAGAGCGAATGTTCTTGAAATTGAGAGAGTGTAACAGTGTGAGTAACTTTTTGACTTTTGACCACCATATATAGTCCATCTCGCTCTTGGAGCTGCAGAGCAACTGCTGTTAACAGTTTAACACTATGTTATACTCTCGCTAGTTTGATCTCATTTTAGTGCTAATGATTTTGCGGTAGCTGTCATTTACACTCTTGTTCTCTTTATGCAGTTGCTCTGTTATTGATGTTGAGAGTGAGAGTGCAAGTGGCTTATCGGCATTTAAGCTTGCCCGACTTTGTTATAATATTATAATATTACATTCGTTCACTCTTCGTCGCATGTTATAGGCTTGATCCACTGTTAAAAGACACAGACACTAACACTCAATCGTGGGCTTGACCTGCTTAGCAATTACGTCTGGGAGTGGGAGCTTGGGTAGCTTGTCAATATTAGCACACCTCCTAGTTTGATCTCATTTGGCATGTATAAACTACGGAGTATATATGTAGGAGTGATTGATGCTCGCATATTGGAATATTTATGAGAAAGTCAAACAGCTCATTATACAGCAGCAATTGACGCTCTTCCCATGAAAGTTTTTTTTTTTTGTTTTTTTTTTATAGAAGACATGCTACGTATAAAAGCTGTCAAATTCTTGATCCATTAGTAGGTTAAGAAGACGTCCGTTCAAAAACCTGCTCTCCTCAAATAGTAATTAATTTACTCTTAATATATGTTTAAGTTTTGTACATAAGCTAAACCTGTGATGCTCTGGTACTTCCTAAAAAAAAAAAAAAAAAAAAAAAATGGAAAGTTTAATAAAACTGAAGAACACTATTAAAATACTACGTATTTCTCCAGCAAAGAGAGCATATAAGAGAGTAATGCCTTAATTTGCATTACTTAAAATAACAAAGAGAACTTCAGTTCTCTCTCTCTCTCTCTCTTTGTATCGTTTGATCTAATCGATCTCTCTTTACACATAAATATTATAAAGAGAGCTACAGAGCAATATACAGAAATTAATTTTAAATTTAAAAGCATTACGCTCATTCACGCCCCTCAATCTTAGTCCTTGATACATAAACACCTGAAAGATTTTATGAAACGGATACACGAATTGTTACTCAATTTGAGTAAGAAAATTGAGATTCATAAATAATTAAAAGCAAATGCTTTTAGGTTACAAGTTCAATAACAATTTGCCTCATGTCGGTGTGTTCGGCGAGCTGCTACTGCTGCTCCTCCTCCCCGCTGCTCATCTGTCATTTCCCTATCATTAAGCCCACAAAAGCATATGAACATATTTCAAATTGAGCTATTTCTGTTTACCACTTGATTGCACTCACCTTTCGGGGACAGGCTCAGTGGGCCGAAACCTCAAAACTTCATTAGCCAAAAAGCACGCGCCGAAATTGTGGCAACAACAACAAAGCGCGAACAGTAAATAATAAAAATAAAAATAAAAATAAAAATAAAAAAGTATCTTCGAAAAGTTGGGCGTCATAAATTGCACGGCGGCAAAAATAAATGTAAAGTAAATGGCGCTAATTCAAAGTAGATTTATTTATTATGCTATTTTTCCCGCGGCAATGCGCCAAGAAAGATGCTTTAAATTCTCATTCGTAGCCCATTGAATTTACCAAAAACTTTAAGAGAGAGAGAGAGAGAGAGAGAGAGAGAGAGAGAGAGAGAGAGACAGGGTGAGAGAGAGTAAGTGAGCTGAAACACAAATGAATATATACGACGCTGGGCAGAAAATATGCAACAAAAACAATAAAGAATTCCTGGGAAAAACTGTGAAGCTGTGAATTTCCTTCTGCTATCTGCTTCTACTTCTTTCGCTCTTCTTCTTTACTGTTTTTTTTTTTTTTTTTTTTTTCTTTTTCTAAGTACACGAGCATATTAATTTACGCACATCCTGTGGCGCCAGCTTTGAGAAGCGACGCACCTGCTGCGACAGACATCCGCAGATCTCACTCACTCCCACAGGCTCAGCTTAGGGCTGCTCTAGTCTGGACTGTTGATTTTGGCCATAATGCTAACGCATTTAAGCCAATTTTCGTGTCAAGTCTCAATGATTTATTAGCCAGACGGACGGACGGAGAGACAGAGAGACACTGCTGCTTAGCGCGCGGATATAGAGGCGAGCCTTAACGGTGTCAACAATTGCCTAAAAGTTGCTCAAATTTGTCGACAATTTGTCTTGAGTTTTGTTGTTACTTTGCTCTGTTTGTTTACTTGGCTAATGATAGCGATTGGCCCGCCCTACGACAGCTGCTTAAAATGAGCCTGAATTATGCCCGCTTCGCCATTTTACATTCCGCAGTGAAAGTTTTGTCTGGTTTGAAACGGCGGAAGTTAACTTTTTGGCCATTGAATAACATGAGAAGCGCAGAGGGAGGTGCTGAATATCTTAGAAACAGGGGTGTCATTTTAGCTTTATTCCCGTCAGATCTGGCTTTATTTGAAGTCCCAATGCGGGAAAAATTTGAAAACGGCGGGTTGCGGGAATTCTGGCTTTAAAAAAATTAATTTAGCTCTATTTTAGCTTTATTTAATTTTCACGATTTATTTTGCTTTTTATCTTTCTCAACACTAAAAATCATGAATACAAGTATCGATACATGATTTTGTATCATACAATCTATCGATATCTTTTCGTGGTTTGAGTAACAGCGTTTGTGTTTTAAGTTTTACTGCGTTGAGAACATTAGTTGAGAAATGTCGAAGGTATACAAGCAAAGTGTTCGCGATGTGTGGCTACAGGCTGACGAGTTTAAAGATTGGCTACGGAAAGACCTAACAGATTCCACCAGGGCGTACTGCAGCTACTGCAAGTGCGGTCTTACTGCAAAGCTTTGCGACTTGCGTGCCCACGCCTCAACAAAAAAACACAAAGGTGCACTAAGTGGATTTACACAAAAAGAAAAAATTGATTTTAGGCAAACTCCATCGAAAACCACGGAGCAAGAGGTAGCACTTTGCCTCTTTGTGGCAAAGCACAGTTCAGTTGCTCCAATAAACCACCTGGGCAGTCTCTGCCAAAAAAAATTTTGTGACAGTATTACTGCGTCTCGCATAAAGCTGCACCGTACGAAATGTACATATATTATAAAAAATGCGTTGGCTCCTCATTTTCGAGAGGATCTTAGAGATGACATTGGAAGTGCTAAATTTAGTCTAATTCTGGATGAATCAACTGATATAAGTTGCACTAAGCTGCTCGGTAAATAAAAATTCTTTTTTTAATCACCTGCCCTCTTTTTAAAAGTTTGAATATTTTCTAATTTGTATGCATGTATATTTATAATTTGTACGTTGATGTTGTTTAGGTGTCGTTATTAAATACGTTTCGGTTAAGCGTGCAGTGATGGTATCAACGTTTCTCAGCTTAATTTCATTAGAAAGTGGAGATTCGTTGTCAATTGTTGATGGCATTAAAAAAGAACTTAGAAACTGGAATTTGGATTTAGCCAATTTGGTAGGCATCGGCACAGACAATGCCAATGTCATGATTGGCTCAAATCAAAGTGTATATACGGAGATGAAGAAGGTAGCGCCTTCACTCCTTTTAATTAAATGTGTCTGCCACTCCGTGCAGCTAGCAGTGAACCATGCCTGCAAGCAATGTTTCCCAGAGGGACTGGAATACCTCGTATATGGGACATATAATTGGTTCGCTAAAAGCGCAAGCCGTCAAATTGCTTATAAAAAAATTTATCAATGTATAAATGATGAGAAGGTATATCTAAATATAAAAACCCCGTCGTGTTTGTCTGTAGTTCTTGATTCCCCATTTGTATTATCACTTTTAAATCGCTGCAGTTATTGTTATCGTGTAATTATTTGTGGTCTAAGTTACTGTGTGTTTTCTTGGGAAAATAGTTTATTTACATATCAATTTGTTTTCTAAAAGGCTCCCCTTAAAATTCCACGAGTGTCGGATACACGATGGCTCTCAATTGAATTGGCAGTAACTCGAATTTTGGAGCAGTGGCATGAGCTAACACTTCATTTTGGTATTGCTGGTACGCAAGAAAAATGTTTACAAGCTCAACACCTCAGCGAATTATTTAAGGACGTGCAAAATCTGTTATATCTTCAGTTTTTGAAACCAGTTTTGCAAGAAATGCAACATGTTAATAAATGCTTCCAGAGTCAAAATACAGACTCATCAAAATTGCTGAATGACTTGATACTAGCAATAAGGTCTCTGCAAAAGAAAATTATTCCAGAAGAACAAAAAATCGACATATTATTTGAAAACGATTTTGAAGAATTTGTAGCCAAAGACCTATATCTTGGCTATGAATTTGAAAAACTGATTAAAAATATTAAAATGGACATGCCTGCAGAATCAGTCATTAGGGAGTGCTGCGCGAATTTTGTAATTGAGCTTGTAAAGCAGTTGAAGCAAAGGTAGGTCTAATTAATTATGTTTAAAATGCATAACAAATAATCAATTTTGCTTATTTTTCAGGCTGCCCGATAATTTTGAGATACTAAGACAAAGCGATGTATTCGCTGTGGAAAATGTTTTGAATTTTAAGCAGCCCAATATCGTTGCCGTTCTCGAATTTTTTAAAATTTCAAAAATTGCTGATATTGAAAGACAATATGCTGATGTACGACTGTGTTCTTGGCAAAACACAGAAAATACGCTGGCATTTTGGCTGGAAGTACTAGCGTACCGTGACTCAGCCGGAAACCAACGGTTTTATGAATTGGCAAGCGTTGCGGTACAGATTCTGTCATTGCCATGGTCAAACGCAGATGTAGAGCGGGTCTTCAGCCAAGTCAATTTAGTTAAATCTAAATTAAGAAATGGAATGAATTTAGATACTCTTAACTCTATTTTAAGCGTAAGGTATGTTTTTTATTTAACAAAAGAAAATATATTGAAAATAATACTAATTTTTTTTTTTTTCAATTTTAGATACGGACTAAGTCGTAACAACAAATGCTGCTACGAGTACACATTGCCTCCTAAATGGATGCAAGCAGTAAGCAATCGAGCTTATTATCCAGACGAAGAGGCAGTGAGTTTGGATGAACTCATAAATGAGCTGCAGGAGTAATCAAATTTAACATTAACGTGAATTTAAAATAATTTTTAATTTTATTATTATGTTTAAAAGAATCATTGTCAAGTCATTGAATATCAATTTAAAACAAATGAATAAAAATAAATTAATTTAACTAAGAAAATTATGTTTTTAAGCTTAGCTTTTATTTTGGCTTAATTTTTCTTAAATTTAGCTTCTTTTAGCTTCTTTTTTTTTGCAAATCTGGCTCTATTTACTCGAAAAATTATGACAGCACTGCTTAGAAATCAACAATTGCACAGCAAAACAATAAATATGTAAGCTAGAGAAGCTAGAAGCGTGATAAGAGATAGCATATATAAAAGAGCCCTGAGTTGTATAATATATAAAATATATATATCAAATATGTGAGAATTCCATAGAGAGGCGTCGGATAGAAACATAAAAAAATTGTATAAAATGAAAAAAAAAAATAAATAAATAAAATAAAATAAATAACGATAATTGGAGAATTACATTGATATAAAGCTCAAAGTTTTTTCTTCCTCTTATATGCGTTACGAAAATATTTTTAAAATATTCTTATTTTACAGAAATAACGAAAGAAAATTACATAGAACGCCGTCTGTAGATTATAGAAAAAAAAAATCTAAATTAATTTAAAAAAAAAAGATTTTGTAGATATAAATAAATAAAGAGAAACCTCTACTGTCCTATGTCTCTACTATATCTGTCATTCTTAAAAGCTTTCATCGCATGAGAAGAATTGCATAGACAGCGGCAGCTTAATTTTTATATTATTCTTTTTAATCAAGTAAAACGCTTCTGGGAATTTCCTGCTTCAACTCACTCCAAATGATATTTGAGATGTGTTTTATGCATTTTCCTGCTGTCACGCCTCGCCCCTGCGTGGCTAATATTATTTCCTTTGTGCTTCTTTGTTTGGCTTCCATTCTTTTATTTATCGATTTATAGAAACTGGAGGTTTCGTAATTAGTTGAAACAAATTGTCTTTCGTACTAAATCAATTTTCAAAGTCCTTAAAATGTACAGAAAAAAAATAAATAAACAGGAGTAAGAGACACATTTTCTGGAGGCGGTAAATACATTCTTGACACTCGTTTATAAAATATAAAGCACAAATAAATGAAATAAATGAAAAGGGGTATCATTATTTTTGGAAGGCAAATGAAAGGATCCTTTTTTTTTTAGAGGGAGTTAATAATATATTTACAAATGTTTAAGTTTACCCAATGAGTGTCCTTCAATGTAAAGAAACCTTCAACCTTTTTACATAGAAGTAAAAAAAAAGGTGAGTTTTCCACAACAAATTTTTGTCAGAAGGACTTAAAAATAAACTTGCAGGTGGTAATTTAAATACTTAAGTTGTAAAATAATCGAATATGCATATGTAATATATATGTGTATGTGAATATAATAACATTAGTAGTAAATAAATGTCAAGGATAAAAAACAAATTTGACCGATCTCTTAGTTTAGTTTAGTTTAGGTTAGTTTTAGTCAGGGACTAACAGACTCGATAGCAGCAAATAAGTGTATTTCACTCACAGTCAACACTCAGTGAGTGTGCATGTGTGTGTGAATGTGAAAACCGTTTGCATAGACTATTTGAGCTGCATTATTAAGTCTCATTGTGCGAGCGTCAATCTTATCTCTCTCCAAACGATATTCGTCAAAATAGCGTCGCACGAATAGTTCAACTCAAGCCGCTCAACAGAACCTTAAAAAAAAGAGCTTTTGCCCAGAGCGAGCGCTCTGGAATTTTATATTTTCGGTTAAGTTCGCCAACAGAGCACGATTGACTGATAGTCTTTTAACGGTGCGTGAAAAAAAAATTAACAGTTATGTTAAGGCGACTGCGCTGTCTTAAGTCTGTTAAAACATGTAAGTCTGCTTAAAAACTTGCAGCTTTATCGGACTTTAAACTATTTGAACATACTTAAGACTGTTCCATTTCCATTCTGTAGACAAGCGCTAGACCAACACCCATGTCTGGACTGCTACACACCTACTAATATATATACCGTAGTAGGCTTTATGTTAATATTCGCTTTAGATGTTAAAATAGCTATGCTTTTAGCCTTCATTAGACTCTACTTAAAATTGTTTTCTCGCCTTTACTCCTTTGCTCGTTTAATTATCGATGGCACTCTGGTCAGTTAAGTCTATCGATACTTAATCTTAGTACTATACCTTCTGAACTAACCTATTTTCTTGATAGCCTACAAAATAGTAATACTATGTAGTTTGATTTATATAGTTGTATCTTGATTATTGATTGAAGAGCTAAAAGTTATTTATAGCTTATACAAGCCATCTCGTCAGATGCTTTTCAATAAAACTTTAACTACTGTTAGTTATCGTTAACATTACTCGCTAACTGTCGGAAATAGTATCAGCTTTACTTTCCCCCTTTACCTTCATAATGTAATAATGGATTTTAGTTTATAATTGACTTCGTTCATATCCATCAACTCTAGCGAATCTTTTTCATTTGATCTGTAGGGAATTTTGGTTTCTTTGGCAGTTTAAGCATTGGCTGCACACCTCAAGGTGCATTTTGGCCAACTTTGCGCATGCAACTTGGTCAGCAAACTTGGCTGATGATTATAAAACTTCGAGTTGCGTACGTGAGCAGAGATTGTTGGAGTGTGAGAGATAGTTGGGGGGGGGGGGCGAGTGAAGGGGGGCAAACTTAACTCTCAACTTTGTTGCGTGTACGAAAAGAATCCCAAGACTCCGCTCAACCAAATGGCCAAAGGCGAGTTTCCAAATTAGCCGAGTCAAATTTAATGCTGAAATTCGAATTCAGTGCAGCTGAAGCTGTTGCCAATACATATCGCATTCAGCCGGAAGTCAAAGTGCGGCCCATAAGACTCTTGCCAATTGAGTTGCGTGTATGTGCGTATGTGTATATGTGTGGTTGCCTGTCGCATTTATTTTTCGGTTATTTACCAATGCTAGAGTTTCCATTACCAAAACCGAAATTTGTGGCACCCGCTGCCAGCTGCGAGCTGCCAGTTGCCATTTGCCTTTTGCCAGCTGTCCAGGGCATAGGTCAAATGCAAAGTGCTAGGTCTCGAGCTAAATTAAATTTCTCTCTCTCTATCTCTCTTTTTCTGTCTCTCTCTCTCTCTCTCTATCTACTTCTGTCTCTGTAACGGAGAACTACAAAGGCGACTTCAAACAAGGTACAAACAAACGAAGCTAACGTAAAATGATGCTGAAAAACAAACATCGCCAAGAGGCAAGAACCAAAAAGCGCAACAAGATGCAAAAGAGCAGCATAGGAAATAGCCGACACTTAAATGCCCTATAAAGCAAGAAAATACAATACAATGGCAAAAGATATGAATAACAAATACAGACTAGAATATAATTTATTTGATAAAAATTGAAAAGAAAATATACATATAAAATATATGAACGCAAGCTGAATACAGTTGAAGAGAGGATTAAATTCCCCATACTGCATATGCTTAAAAAAGCTAAGTCTATCGATTATTATCGATACACATATTACGTATATAAACTCCAACTGTATGCAGTTAGAGATCAGATTAATATCTTCATATATCAATGTATTGTTAAAAACTCTCTAGCTCTAACTATACTCACATTACGCCCTAAAACGAAGGGAAACTAACGACTATTATCGAAAAAAATTAATTATTAACTTGTACTTCAAAAGGTACACAAGAATATTAGTGAAAAATTTAAGTTGCGACATTTCGGTGTTCATAAGGTTAGACAGTCGGACAGATGGACAGGTTTTAATCGACTCAGATCGTCGACCTGATTAAAAACATATATATGTCGGAACAGTATTTTTATCAGTCATCGTTTCGCGCAGCGAGTTTCGACCGCACTTGAATTCTGGACGCAACTAACTTGTGTCTCTCAATTATTCTTTGTGCCTACCATCGAACCTCACTCGGCGACAGCGACACAACGCTGTCGCCTCGCTAAAACGGTACTTCTTAAGCGACAAAATACAAATATTGGCTGATGCAATATGATGAAATCCATTCTTGGAAAATAGCCGAAAACTACAACCACACACATACAACCTCATTACACACCGACACTACAACTACACGCATAAGTGCGAAGGCATACAGAAAAGGGAAAATATGCGAGTAGGTAGTAAGCGCAATTATAGTGCTCGCCAACATATTAATACTACTTGCTTCGACACGGCCATCCTGACTCTAACACGCCCTCGTGTGTGAAATAATAACATTTAAGTCTTTCTTTTCTTTTCTTGTTTCTTCATATTTCCTTTTTTAACCAAACGATATACATCATTCCTTACAAAATCGATCCTCCCTTCATGTAACCTGTCAACTCGTATCAACCCATCATTACAACAATACACTTCCATACAATTCATACAAAGCATCAGCCTCCATGTATTACCAAAACACCTTAACACAATTATAATCTCCATTCATTATCACCATTTATATTTCTTTGATGAGTAGTTTTGTTAGCATTCTTCTTTAAGCATTATTTACTCCATTTCATTCAACATTATATAATCAAATGCCCCACACGCCATGATCAAAACTACATCAGTACGTTTTGCACTTGTGCTTGCATTATTATATAATCAACATTATATAATCAAATGCCCCACACGCCATGATCAAAACTACATCAGTACGTTTTGCACTTGTGCTTGCATTATTATATAATCCAGTACTCTGCCATTTTCTTTGGCCAGCCGTACTCTTCACTCTCTTTAGTGACTTCACTCTCCTTCACTTTCTTTAGTGACTTCAACATTCTCAACCTTTTTATTCTCACTGTCTTTTTCAACAGTTTCTCAATACCTTACTGTCTCTTGCAACAGTTTCTCAATACATTACTGTTTCTTCCAACAGTTTCTCAGAACATTACTATCTCTTCCAACAGTTTCACTTTCAATATCATTCATATGATCATCACAACATTCCGGATTCAACGACATACTTCCACTCCATCTGGCAACTTCCTCATATCATCATGAGTATGATTGTATTTTCTATTATTTAACTATTTGTTCCTATTATTAATTTTCTAACAATTCAGATGCTTACAACTGTCCTCTAAACTTTAAATTTAACTTTGTTCGAAAGCTTTCTTAATTTTTTAAAAACACAGAGAGATCTTTCAAAACAAAAGAGCATAATACTTTTAACTTGTACATTTGCTTTAAAAACCTTTTTTTTTTTTTTTTATTGTTTGTTTATTTATTTTTTTGAAACAAGTCTCACTACGGCCATTCTGACATTTACACGTCCTCGTGAGTACAAAGTATAAATGAACAAGGCAAACTAAGTCATTCCATTGACAGAGTTTCCAACATAAAATAATTATAGCAAAGGCATTTTACTAGCTGACTACTCTTACATGAAGATTACTTAGATCTTCAGGACAACAGCTTACCTAAAATCCTACTGTCAGTGACTACCAGCGAGTCGATAGGGTAACACATTAACTCATGTTCCTAACAGCGCTAGCAAACCAATGACATGTTTATCATTAAGACTCTGAGGTATAGTGTCTGATGTCCACAGTGTGTCTCACATGTTACGTTCCACTACTCTTCCTACTCACTACTGACGTCTCTTTCAACGCCTTCATTTCTTTCTTCTCAACTGTCCTCACCCTTTAAGACTATCTTTACTCATTTACCAAAATAAATTACAAGTGAAATACAAAAAGCTGATTGACATCAACATTTAACCCCTGGGAATCAAAGCAAGGATCGAGCCTCGGCCAAAGAATTGCAACTTATTCACAAAATGAATTCCGTCAGAATCTCTGCGCTGTTCAGCCATATGATACTTACTAATGCATGAGAGATTTCTAGAAAATAAGTCAACATTACCCATTCTTCTTCCCTCTATGTACTGCAAATCAAATGAAAACATCTATAAATTAGCACACCATCTTTCTGTCCTGTAAAATATGTTACGTTTAGTTCTTGATGCCTAATTAACAATCAATAAAAACGACAATATTTGTGTCCGTCCAATAATAATAATGAAAATGCTGTATAGCAGCACCGACAGTAATTGTAGTTGGCAAAATGACACTAATGACACCAATGACACCAAAATGAAACTCAACAAAGAAACTCGAGATATAATTTTTTTTTTTTTTTTTTTTTTTTTTTTTTTTTTGGGCCTGACGACTGGCCTTCAACGTATTAAATGAATTACAAACAAATTTTGTACTTAGCTTTTCTCTCAATGAACATTCGGGAACCTCCTGGAATCTCATTTGCCGCATGCAAGCATCCGCACATTACACATGGCGGCGGCGCTCCACTGCTCTACGCACTTTTTTATTTTTTTGT